TTCTGAAGTACAAAAATAAGGGGAAAATTCCTACAAGCAATAACTTTCTGAATGTACTTCTTGCACACAATTGGTGCCCTTATAAAAGAAAGGGCAACAAGGCCGTTTGTTCAAAAATCGAAAAGGCACCACTCTTCGGATTTCGAAGAGGCACCACTCTCCACACATAACATCAGCTCTTCGGGTACTATAGATAACTTTGCTAAAGATCTCTGACAAAGTTTAGACACATAAATTTTGAAGGTCTAGCTACCCTACTATTACCCACAAGGGAAAAAGAACAACATCATTGCTTGATAACTGAAAAGTCCCTATGTGTGTCAACCTCCGTGCTCCGTGGCAAGATAGATTGGCAAAAATGCCCAGCCTTTACTCACATTCGAGAAAACACTCCCAACAAGATTGCTTACTCAAAAATCGAAAAGGCACCGCTCTCCGAATCTCGAGAGCCAGACTCCTAACAGGATTACTTGCTCAAAAATTGAAGAGGCACCGCCTTCCGAATCTCGAGAGCTAGACTCCTAACAGGATTACTTGCTTAAAAATTGAAGAGGCACCGCCCTCCGAATCTCGAGAGCCAGACTTCTAACAGGATCACTTTCTAAAAAATCGAAGAAACACCGCTCTCCGAATCTCAAGAGCCAGACTCCCAACAGGATTGTTTTCTCAAAAATTGAAGAGGCACCGTTCTCCGAATCTCAAGAGCCAGATCTCTAAAAGGATTGCTTGTTTGAAAACCGAAGAGGCACCGCTCTCCGAACTTTGAGAGCCATATTTCCTTAGATAAAGCTTGCCTGCAATCTGTCACCTCTTTCGGCAAATCTCCTAGCTCGGCGACTTGGGGGACTCCTACTACATGGTTTGTATAGCGCTTGACCAAGCCTGAAACTACAAGTAAGCTTCAAGTGAAATTGATACATTACCTTGTGCATCTCCACCGATTAAAGATACCATCCTTGGATGGAGGAAGAGTACTTCCAGAGACGATACCACATCTACTTATGAGACAGATAAAGCAAGTGAAGACGATACCACACTTCGGTACTTAGAAGTTTCATGATTACTCAGCGGCTTGGATCTTGCAAGTCCCTAACCGAGAAGCTTCCCTCACTCAGGAACTTAGGGGAGTACTGTTTGTACCATACTTGACCAATCCCGAAACTACTGAGCACCGGTCAACATTATACCGTCAAGGACACAGAAGAGTTTCCCTCCAACCAGGAGGCCAATCACAGTGCGACACATGTCAACATCAGAACCCAATCACAGCGCGACACGTGTCAACATCAGAAGCCAATCACAACACGACACGTGTCAATGTCAGAACAAAGCTAGAAACTCTTCTATAAAAGGAGATCATTCTCCCACAATATTTCTTAATGCCATTTGTACTCACTAAAGGAGAGCTTGAACCTATGTACTTGTGTAAACCCTTCACAATTAATGAGAACTCCTCTACTCTGTGGACGTAGCCAATCTGGGTGAACCACATACATCTTGTGCTTGCTTCCCTATCTCTATCCATTTACATACTTATCCACATTAGTGACCAGAGCAATCTAACGAAGGTCACAAACTTGACACTTTCTGTTGTACTAAAGTCTACACTGATTTTGTGCATCAACATCATGAATAGTGGTATTTACCTTCTTACAATGTGTAGCTATGGTTCAATAGGATTAAAGTTGAGAGATTATTGCTACAATTTTCTTAAACTATAATGTGTCTAATATCTAATTAGGAGGGCAAAAATTAGTCTTTTGAATGTTTCACATTTTTGTCATTTCTCTTTATAATAAAATATTTTTCTATTTTTTGATTTATTTTGTTGAATCTATTTTTTAATTAAAAATAACAAATGATGCGGGTTTGTTTTGAATTTAATAATTAGACCCTAACTCTATTAAAAAAAATAATTAGACCCTAACTAATCAGTTTTAAATTAATATTTGACTTGTAGTTAAAGAAAGGGCAAAATTTGGTATTACGAATCAGTTTTAAATTAATATTAGACCCTAACTAATCACTTATGCCCTCTCCTTTTCTATATGGAGTACAGAGATGAGATAACCTTTGACTAAAATGCTACATGGCACCGGGAAGATGCCTCAAATTTTGAAGCCCTGATTAGACATTGCATTGTAGTTTATGTTCTACAGTTACACGGATACAGACTTTGTATTGCGGTTTCTATTTTATTAGACTTGACTAATTTGACTATAATAAAAATAAAAAAAACCTATGATCGTAGTCTGAATTTACAAATACCAATAACTACAATCCAGCGTTTGAAACTTGTACTTACCTCGTAAAAAAATATAAAAAATGTGAGAAATGAAAGATGCCATTGTTGTAGAGCCAAAAAATACTCAAGAGACGACACGCGGATTTTTAGATGAAGATGAAAAAATTACCCTCGAGACACACCAGGTTTCTTACACGCGAACAACGGAGAATCATCAATCAACCGAGTCAAGAGTGTCCAAAATAGGTAACAAGTTCAAATTTATCTCATTCATCTTTACTCTATATCCTCTACAAGGAAATCATTCCATAACCTTCAAAACCTTCCATATAAATTAAATTAATTAGGCTAATTAATGGATTAATTCCTAATTAATCCATTAAACACCAAATTAATCACCATTAAACCCCAAAAAACATCCAAGGGCCGGCCACTCTCTCTTCCAAAGAGGGCCGACCATGCTCTATAAATAGGACTCCATTTTCTTCGAAGACTAGGTCCACACTCCTGTAAAACTCTAAAAACTCTCTAAACATTTTTTTCTCTAAATTCTAACTTTGGCATCAGAGATTCTTCGGTCATAGCCCCCATCAATTCATCGTGGGTCCGTGAGGCTTTTGGCCTTAACCAAATGTGTTAATTGTTTTGTAGGTGCACTTTTGTCCAAGATCAAGAATGAAGAAATTTTCACCCACAATTATGGTGACAGAGTTTGTAATTTTGTATGCTTTGAGTGATTAGTGTACACACTACTTGATTGACCTTTTATAATTAGCATAAATATTGTAACATTTTATTGATTAAAAGAGAGAGGAAACATGATTTAAATATAACTTTTTTTTAGTGCAACAATACATTTTACATTAAAGGAATGAGGAATTCGGTTAAGCCACACAATAGGCAATCTAATTTGGTATTGAATTCGTTATCCATAAGATTTGAACCTAAGACCTCTCAATTACAAGTGAAGAAGAATATCACCAGACCGTAGTTTTTTTGAACAAACGATATTATCTATGCTAAGGGGGACTGGTGGGCTTACCCTCACAATGGGCTAGCAATAATGTAGTTCAAACTCACATTTGATGAAAATCGAACATAAGACCTCTCACTTACAAGTGAAAATGAATACCACTAAACTGTAGTTTTAAGAGCACTAATGTTGTAGTATTTTTATTTTTTTTTCGAAAACATTAATGTTGTAGTATTACTGTATTAGTATTGTTGGTATCTATCTATCTATATCTATATTATTAAGAGAACCTTCCTTGTCAACTTTTTCTCTTTTTTTTTCTATTTTGCCCTCACTTTTGATACACACTATTGACAAAAATGAGGCAAAATAATAATTTTGTACCTTTTGACAAAATGACAACTATATCCTTTTTTTTCCTATTTTACCCTTTTTTTTAGAAAATGACAATCATATGCTTATTTTTTCCAATTTTACCCTCACTTTGGATACACAATATTTACATAAGGAGGAAAAAATAGGAAAAAAAGGGGGAAAAAGTTGACAAGGAGGCTTCTCTTAATAACATTTTTGATACACAATATTTACATAAGGAGGACAAAATAAGGAAAAAAAAAGGAAAAAAGTTGACAAGGAGACTCCTCTTAATAATAGTATAGAAAAAAAAATTGCACTTATTAAGAGAAATTATTCACACACACAAAGTGTGTGCTCTCTGCTAATATTATTAATATGAGCCATGTTTAAAAATAATTCTATTTTTAAATATTCAAAATTTAAATACTACCAAACGTTAAGATGCACGAAAATAGGATATTTTAATTTGTAAATTGGTTGAAATTTTCATAGGTGAAGCCAATCAAACCTATTTTCAGACCGAAAATCTTTCGATCCCATGCAGTCAATGCTAATGGGTGTGCTTAAGAGTTGGTGGCAACCGAATACCTCTAATAAAAAAGAATAAAACGGGTGTTAATAACAATTTGGGAATCTTAATACAACACTTCGGGTACTGTTCATTTTTAACGAAAATGACATTTTTACCTTGAAAAGTCACTCATAGTACTATTCACTTACACCTTTATTTTGTCATTTTCATTAAAACTAAAGTTTTTGAGAACTTTTCTTTAGTTTTCCTTAAAAATTAAAGTAGAACTAGACTGAATCAAATAGCACATGAATTTTTGTACCCGAATCAAAATACTCCAAAGCAACACCAAGAGATGAGGGAATAAAAGTGTATCAAACTCGTCAACCAGATTTAAATATGAGACATCTCACTTATCAGTGAAAAATATGAGAACATAATATTAAGTGATAATTTCACATAAAACATAGGGCTAACTAAATTTCAAAAATGGGTCACAAGGTTTCAATTTTCTCACATTACCCCCCTAAAATTTTAATATTGTATTAATTTACTCATTTTGTCTAATAAATTATTTAAATATTCATTAAATTGATGACATAGTTAGCAAGAAACCCGTAATCACATTTCAGCGAGTAATACTATTTATACCATGTTTTTATACCAAATTTCTATATCATCTTAGGTGTCATCTGATGTGGACAGCACATCATTTGAAAAATTTGCAAAACCTAAAGAAATAAATGAGAAAGACTCCTTGTATACCATAAACATCAATTGACTAGTTTTTCTTATTTATTAGTTTATTAAATAATGAACCAAATTTAAAAATCTCATTAATTTAAATGATATGACTGTTTATATCAAATACTACCCAAAGAAATGCTCTTTACCCAAAACCTTTCCTTGCTGACAGCCAACGGCCCAAATTCCTCTGCCAACTCACCCGTGCTCGAATCCCAAAATATTACCAACAAAACCACCACCCTCCACTCCCGCTTCAATTCCACCGCCATTGCCTTCCTCCCCGAAACCGCACGACGACGAGGCTCTCCTGCCCTTATCACCCACATTCCGAGCCCTCTTCTCGTGCTGTTCCTCTCCTCCGCCTTCCTTCCGGTCCGGCGGTCCGGTTCTCCTTCCTTTCCAGGTATTATTATCGTTCTATCGTCACCAATAGTTTGCATGCAACCAAAATAACAAATTGTCGTTTTATTTTATTTTGATTTTAATTTGGTTCTGGAGAATCGGGGTCGGATTCCCTTTCGTGCCAATTCCTGCGATTGTGCTGTGTTTGGCAACCGGGAATTGGTGACTGGATTGCTTAGAAATGAATGAGAAAGTTGCATCTTGCATGCTGCATGTGAATATGGGATTATTTTCTGTTTGTTTTGTTTGAGGAAATGGAATTTTCCCCTTCAACTATATTGGCAAGTTTCAGAATTGTGAGTATTATTGCATGTTACAGATCCTTAATCCTTAGCCAAGATAGAATTTTGGAAAACTTTCAATGTGGTAGATGGTTTCTTGCTTCTTGAAATATCTGGGGCGGCTTCCAAATTCCAAGCATTTTACTTTTTGTAATGTTTACTTATGGAATTGAATGTCATAGAATCGTAAGTGATGGACACAAATTGTTGTGTAATTTGAGGTCAAAATCGATTTTTGTCTGTTAGGTTTAGACCGCAATGGTGTGCTAATTATGCCCCTTTCTTACTTGTCTGCTTACCGTCTTGCTGATTACCGCAATGGGGTTCGGAATTTCGTGATCATTAGCAATCTTACATTTATTGGTTAAATTTGTTGGCCTTAGTCATGTTAAATTCCTTGCTTATTCTTCTTGGAACATTTCCACACCAGGATATTAGGTTGCTTGGGTAATATTCATCGTTGTGGTGTGGAAGCGCAGCATAATCGTTTATTATGGGCGCCATGGAAAATGCCATAGTCAACAGAGAAGATCGTATTCCAGCAGAAGCTAGGGAGATTCTACAATCATTGGCTTCCCAGTGGGATGACGTGGTGGATTCAAAGGCACTGCAGGTGATCCCTCTCAAGGGTGCAATGACAAATGAGGTTTTTGAAATAAAGTGGCCATCAAGGACAGGGGAACTTTCACATAAAGTTGTGGTTAGGATTTATGGTGAGGGTGTCGAGGTGTTCTTTGACAGGGATAATGAGATCCGAACATTTGAACACATGTCAAAGAATGGTCAGGGACCTCGTTTGCTTGGGCGTTTTCCAAATGGCCGAATTGAAGCGTTCATCCACGCACGGGTACTTTCATTTTTACTTATCTTGCTGTCGTTCTCTAGCAATCTCATAATTCGCATTTAAAATAATAAATAAAGGAAGTTGCTTTGGATGGTTCCTTACTGGTGCATTTCTTGAGAACACAAAATATTCTTCCACGATTTCTGATTGGGGTTAGGAGTATATTATATGCACCATGTTCTTTTTTCTATTAATGCTCAGTTTATTTCTGGTGCATGAGAATGTCATGCTAAATTGTCTTGTCGAGTGTTTTATGACTACCTTCTCTAGCTCAATATCAACTTTAGTAAATAATTATAATTTTCTTCAGCAAGCGATTAATTCCACTTTGCGTTTTACAATTCCTTTTAGTGGTGGTTATGTATGAGAAAGATGAACGCATCTATTTCATATCTTGGGTTACATGGATAAATTGCATAAAGAAGTCAATTAAAGAGTTCTGTAGCTCCTTAAACTATGGAAGCACTTTTTTGTTCCTTTCCTGATTTTATCTCTTTCACTTGTAAATTTTCAGACACTCTCAGCATGTGATCTACGTGATCCAGATACATCTGCTCTTATAGCTTCGAAATTGAAGGAGTTCCATGAACTTGATATGCCTGGTCCAAAGGTTGTCACCCTCTGGGATAGATTGCGGTACATTACTTTGTTTCTGCTGTACTATTCTCTGAAAGATTGAGATTATACCATGTGTCTAAATTAAGTGAGAATAAATTGTCGCATGAATTAATGTTCCGACTGTTGTTATAGCTTCAATCATTTCTTTGTAAATGTTCCAGAAATTGGCTCAGTACGGCCAAGAGATTGTGTACCCCAGAAGAAGCTAATTCCTTTCAGCTGGATTCTATTGAAAACGAAATCCCGTTACTGGAGAGGGAGCTCTCAGGGATTCATGAACGTATGGGTTTTTGCCACAATGATTTACAGTATGGTAACATAATGCTTGAGGAAAAGAGTAAATCGATAACCATAATTGTAAGTTCCTCATTCTGCTTTTAATTTCAATTTTTTTTATTTTCTCATCTGAATTTGGAGTAAAAATCTTATTTTCATTTGATCTTTTAGTTTTTACTTTAGTAAATAGTTAAGATGTTTACATTACTATGCAACAACGAAATACCTAGTTATAAGAGTGTATTTTGCTTAGATGATTTCTAATTGTAGTATGGCAGATGTCATTGGTAGAAAGGATGAAAAGTATTTCAAATAGCTTGTATCTGTGAATTTCACCATATAATTCCAACTGCTAACAATGCCCAGAAAAAATTAAAAAAAGATTAGGATTGAGATTATCATTAATCATATGGAGATAGTATATCAGTTTTTATATGGATATATAGGTTTGAAGTTTAAACGTCATCCTATATGATGTTTCGTTGGAAGGATTATTGACTAGAAGAGTATGAATTTGATTGTGCGAAGAAAGTTCTGTTCTTTTCTTTCTTTTTTTCTTTTCATTTCTTGGGAAGCTAATTCAGCGCCATGTTTATTGGTATATCCAATTATGGCATCGACAATGTGCGATGGGGGCATGAACAAGAGTGGGAAGATTCTTTGGTTCTGATATTATATTTAACTTTCCTGCCAGGATTATGAGTATGCAAGTTATAATGCTGTACAATTTGACATAGCAAATCATTTCTGTGAGATGGCAGCTGAATATCACACTGATACACCTCATATTTTGGACTACAGCAAATATCCTGGTTTGTCATCTGTACTGGCACATTCTTTTGTGTTTATCTTGTATTATTTCCTTCTGTGCCATGCTATATCTTGACCTGTCACAACAGGTTTGGAGGAGCGTCGGCGGTTTGTTTGTTTGTACCTGAGTTCTTCAGGTAATATTATTTATTAGATTATGTTGTAACCTCTCTCAAGAAATTGGAAGGATTTATTTGATATTCTCTGAATTGTGGGATTTGTATGCAGGCAATCAACCTACTCACAGCGAAGTGGAGCAGCTGGTTCAAGATGTTGAGAACTATACTCTTGCAAGCCATCTTTTTTGGGGCTTATGGGGAATAATATCGGTACTCATCGTTTCAACATAGTTTCATGGATAGAACCTTATTATCATAGAAACCTATTGCCACTGTGACTTCCAGAATGACAGCTAACCCCTTAGGTTCTTAATATGTTTTTCTTTATTTTCTTTAAATGCCTTGTTTCTCTGATTTTTTAATTTTATTGGTAATCTAGTTTCTTTTTCATATCTTAGCATGCCGGCTCCTGTTGAGACTTGCCATATTGATGGTTTATCCTATAAGCTATCATGTCAATGTCAGGCCGTTGTTTTAATTTTTAACTGTGATCAAGGTTACATAATGGGTTGCAATACTTTCATGTGGCTGCATTTAATTTTGTCTCTACATTTGGTTTTTCATTTTTCAGGAACATGTGAATGAAATTGACTTTGACTACATGGAATACGCAAGGCAGAGGTTTCAACAGTACTGGACAAGCAGGCCTAAGCTGTTGGGTTCCGTTGGATCTCCTCCAGATATTGTAACTGATGGTAACTGTGCTGTTTAGCTCTCATGTTTAATTCACATTTCTATAGTCCTTTTGATTGCACTGCATTACAGTCCAGCAAGTGTATTTTGTTATCTGATAATGACTTTATAGGAAGAACAAAAAAACCCCAAGTTATTTTCTGTTTTTACTTGTCTCCTTGGATGCCTCATCTTTTGACTGATCCTATACCGTTTTAGTTATGTGATGAGCAGTCGGTGATGTATGCTTTTCAATGGAAATTTTGTGCCTTGACTTTCTCAGTTGATTCATCTAAAGGTGGCATAAGCCTGATATTGTGATCTTCAAAGCTCGGGTAGATGGGAGTAATCATGGTACTTTAGGCTGAGTTTGGGTTGGGTGAACCGTGAACATAAAAGGTAACTTGATACGGATGAAGTTTTAACGAGTGACCATTTTGGGAGTCCTAGTACTGAAGTCGTGATCACCAATCAGGTTCATTTTCCCATAGCTATGAGACATCACTTGTAGTTTGCTATTTATCCCAAGCTAAATTATAGCTACAGTTCTTGACCGTGAATGGGAGTAGAGGTATCTGTCTAATGGAGGAGCTCTTGCTTCTTTCTGTTTAATTTCCATACTGCGGGATCATAAAGATGAGTCTCCTACATCTAGAGAGACTGGAGCAGTCACTCTGAGTGGTAAATGTATAAAGGGGGCTGTAAGTTTTGGAGAACAGTGCCTGAAAACCTTAGGCAATGGTAGAAAACTGACCCGTTTGAACAGTTATACAAAACTTCTTGTGTCTATCCTGTGGAACGAGTCTCTTAACCGTGATCCTGCCTATGTTGAAGACTCATATTTCTTCTTTTTATTCTGGAATTTGTGAGTGGAGTACTGATTGATTGGTAATTGTGACAAAGGATAGTCATGAAAGTAATCTCTTGGAATGGTAGCATCGAGTTTCAAATTTCCATTTAGACCAAACCCAACTCCAGGCTAAAAGCCAAATTTTAGGTTTACTCAACCTAAGCCAAATTTGCAGGTTAAAAGCTAAAAGTCAAATTCCCTCTAAAAATTAGTCCAAATGCGAGTGGACTCTCCGGAAACAAGCCCAGCCGCAGCCCACCCACTCGCCCCCATTGCCCCACGTGGCATCAAGCCTTCAGCGCTTGACATAGGGGGGGTCCATTGTCACAACAGCTGTTGACCACTTGCAGGAGCCCAACAGCTTTAATTTGCACTGGACGACTGATATATTTGGACCGTTGGATAACCAACGGTCCAGATTTAAATTTTGTTTTATAAAAAAATGTAATTTTAAAATACGTTGAATCCAACGGTTGAGATCGGATATAATCAAATCTAACGGTAAAAAAAAGATCTGACGGTTGAAATTTAAATCCAACTGCTAAAATAATTAACAAAAATTATTTAACTCAAAATTCACCCAAAAACTCTATAAATACCTATGTATTTGTTCAAACATCCACACAAAACTCACTTTTCTCGTGTGTGTCATGTGTTTTACATGTGTTCTATGTGTGCTTTATCTCTACCATGTGTTTTGTATGTCCTTCACATGTGTTTTGTATGTGCTTCACATGTGTTATGTGTTTCATGTATTTTATGTTTATACATCTCTATCATGATTTTCATATTCTTTTATAGTGTTTTATGAGTTTTATGTATCGATTTAGTGATTTTTCAATATTTATCGGAATTTAAATATTTTTATATTAAAATGTTCATAAAATTAATTTACGATAGTCTACATAATTTTTTTCTTAATTTAAGAAAAAAAAATAGTCTAAGTTCATTATTTAATAATCTAGGGCTAAAATTTTAAACAAGAATGGTTAGAGTAGAAAATCTGTTTCTGAGCTAAAAAGTTTAGCTTTTATCCCAAGGGTTGGAGATGATCTTTAAGGAGCTAATAGTTTAAATCGTTGACTATATTCGGGGCATGTCTTTATTATGTAATCGGAGGTCAAGAGGTAGCTGATGAAAGTTGGTGGATATTTTGGTGTGGGTATCAATAGTTTTTTGTCTTCAGTCTCGTTGCTGTTTTAGCTCTTTTATTTTTCTTGTGCAATTTCATGTTGTATTTCTTGCTTCTGCGTCCCATTCTTTGGTTTATGCAACATCTTCAGGTCATGAAGTTGCTCCATACATATCCTTAATATTTCATATTTGACAGTTTTCCCACATTATGTAATGCATATACAAATAAGTAAATGAAAAAGTTTCAGTTAAATACGAGATGCATGGAGTGCTGCTTGACAGCACAAGTGACGCTGTGGAGACCCTCTTGTTCTTTGTTTTGTTTTTTTGTTTGGTTGGTGTGAATATGGTTAACTCCGCCTATGTATCTTACATTGCCGGTCCCAAGCCCGGATAAAGGAGGAGGGGGAGGGCGTCAAGTAGTCGACAGCCGGCACTCCATGATCACGTCGAATACTTATGAAAATGAATCCAGAACAAAATCGCGCTAAAGCTAGGGCGTCACCCGTAAGTGGCGCGCTGTGTGGCCCGAGCACAGTGATAAATGAGCAAGGGTCGCTGTATCTCCATCGGCACCCGGATGCAGTGTTAAATGAGCAAGGGGGCCATAGAAACTTCTTTTCGAACGACTCCACTCAAAGTTGTTTGGGAGCATATGCTCCTATCAACTTTACACGGGACACACAAAAGAAGTACTTTGATCCTATTAGACGGGGGAGGGTGAAGAAGCTAGGACATAAGGGTAGAGTTCAAGAGAGCAAAATGCGTTTAGGAACGTGGAATATAGGAACCTTAACGGGAAAATCTATGGAAGTAGTGGAAGTTATGGTGAGGAGAAGGATAAATATTATGTGCCTACAAGAAACTAAGTGGGTTGGTAGTAAGGCAAAGGATCTAGAAAACTCAGGGTTTAAACTTTGGTATTCGGGCACAAAAATAGAACGAGAAAACGGTGTTGGCATCATCGTGGACAAGACCTTGACACAAGATGTTGTAGATGTCAAGAGGGTAGGAGATAGAATCATGGCAATCAAGATTGTAATAGGACAAGAACTTATCAATGTGATTAGTGCGTACGCACCTCAAGTAGGGTTGGATACGAGTTCGAAGGAGAAATTTTGGGAAGACCTTGGAGACTTGGTGCAAGGAATTGCTCAGACGGAGAAGTTATTTATAGGAGGAGATTTAAATGGACACGTGGGCAGGGAGACAGGCAACTATGGAGGTTTCCATGGTGGCCATGGTTTTGGGGAGAGAAACGAGGATGGGGAAGCTATCTTGGATTTTGCAATGGCATATGATCTTTTCTTAGCCAATACCTTCTTTAAGAAGAGAGAAGAACATGTGATCACCTACAAGAGTGGGTCGTCAAAAACACAAATAGATTTTCTCCTAATGAGGAAAGGGGATCGTATAACTTGTAAGGATTGCAAAGTTATACCAGGAGAGAGCGTGGCTAATCAACATCGCTTGTTGGTGATGGATGTACATATCAAAAGAGTGAGACAAAAGAACAAGACTTGGAAGTGCCCAAGGACTAGATGGTGGAATCTAAAAGAAGAAAAACAAGCCATTTTCAAAGAGAAAGTAATCACCCAGTGTGTGTGGGATAGAGAGAGGGAAGCTAGCCAAATGTGGGATTCCATGGCTAGTTGTATTCGAAAAGTAGCAAAAGAGGTATTAGGAGAGTCCAAAGGCTTTGCCCCACACCAAAAGGAATCTTGGTGGTGGAATGAGGAGGTACAAACAAAGGTGAAGGCTAAGAAGGAATGTTGTAAAGCCTTATACAAGGATATGACCGATGAAAATGGTGAAAGGTATAGAAAAGCGAAGCAAGAAGCGAAGAGAGCTGTGAGAGAAGCTAAGTTAGCGGCTTATGACGATATGTATAAGCGACTAGATACCAAAGAAGGAGAGTTGGATATCTATAAATTAGCTAGAGCAAGGGAAAGAAGACAAATGACCTAAACCAAGTGATGTGCATCAAAGATGAGGATGGAAAGGTTCTTGCTACAGAGAACGCGGTTAAAGACAGATGGAAAGGTTATTTTCATAATCTTTTCAATGAAGGGCATGAAAGGAGTGCTTCTTTAGGGGAGTTGAGTAACTCAGAAGAGTGTAGAAACTACTCTTTTTATCGTCGAATCCGGAAGGAAGAAGTGGTTGTAGCTTTGAAGAAGATGAAGCATAGAAAAGCAGTAGGCCCAGACGATATACCAATCAAAGTGTGGAAAGTTTTGGGAGAGACAGGTATAACATGGCTCACTGACCTTTTTAATAGGATTTTGAAAACGAAGAAGATGCCAAATGAGTGGCGAACGAGCACTTTGGTGCCTATCTACAAGAATAAGGGCGACGTACAAAATTGCATGAACTATAGGGGTATTAAGCTAATGAGTCATACAATGAAGCTCTGGGAGAGAGTCATTGAGCATAGATTGAGGCAAGAGACACGGGTTTCGGACAACCAATTCGGGTTCATGCCAGGGCGCTCAACCATGGAGGCAATCTATCTCTTACGAAGATTGATGGAAAGATATAGAGATGGGAAAAAGGATTTACACATGGTCTTTATAGATTTGGAAAAAGCGTATGATAGGGTCCCAAAAGACATTCTTTGGAGGATTTTAGAGAAGAAAGGAGTACGAGTAGCATATATCCAAGCTATAAAGGATATGTATGAAGGAGCAAAGACTGCCGTAAGAACTCATGAAGGACAAACCGAAAGCTTTCCCATAACTGTAGGATTACATCAAGGCTCATCCTTAAGTCCTTACCTTTTTGCGTTGGTAATGGATGAGTTAACAGGACATATTCAAGATGATATTCCTTGGTGTATGCTTTTCGCAGACGATATAGTGTTGATAGATGAAATTCAGGAAGGGGTAAATGCAAAGCTTAACCTTTGGAGAGAAGTGTTGGAATCTAAAGGTCTTCGCCTAAGCCGATCAAAGACAGAATATATGGAGTGCAAGTTCAGTGCAAATGGAGGCCAAAACGAGTTAGGGGTGAGGATCGGAGATCAAGAAATACCAAAGAGCGACTGTTTTCGTTACCTAGGATCTATCTTGCAAAAGAACGGAGAATTAGATGGAGATCTCAACCATAGAATACAAGCTGGATGGATGAAGTGGAAGAGTGCATCCGGCGTGTTGTGTGACCGCCGTATGCCACTGAAGCTCAAGGGAAAATTTTATAGGACGGCAATAAGGCCAGCGATGCTGTATGGCACAGAATGTTGGGCGGTGAAGCATCAACACATACACAAAATGGGTGTAGCGGAGATGAGGATGCTTCGTTGGATGTGTGGGCACACGAGAAAGGATAAGATTAAGAATGAGGATATCCGGGGTAAAGTAGGAGTAGCCGAAATTGAAGGCAAGATGAGAGAAAATCGGTTACGGTGGTTTGGACATGTGCAACGAAGGCCTACTGACGCTCCGATTAGAAGATGCGACTATGGGACAGAGGTTCAGGGCCGAAGGGGTAGATGAAGACCTAGGAAAACTTTGGAAGAGACTCTAAGAAAAGACTTAGAGTACTTGGATCTAACGAAGGACATGACACAGGACCGAGCACAATGGCGTTCTAAGATTCATATAGCCGATCCCACTCAGTAACTTGGATTTTCCAAGTCTCCAACCGAGAAGTTTTCCTCACTCGGGAAATTAAGGGAACACTACCCCAACCTACATGCTCCACTCAGAAAGCTTCAACATACAAGCTTCAACAAAAGAAAATTCAAAGAACTTAGCGAAGAAGGTTTTGGTGTATTTAACACAATACGTTGAAATGAAGGAAAACTTATTTATTGATATCTCCGATAAGCTACAAATATGTACATATACATGAGTCAAAATAAACAAACAAGAGGGAGCCTTCACAAGGGTTGCTTAGGAGAAGTCTCAGCAGTCGGTAGAGCCCCAGAAAGAGAAGGCACCGGAGGGGGATCATTCGGAGCCTCAGTACTGGACAGAACCCTAGAAGGAGGAGGCATCAGAGGTTGATCATTTGGAGCTTCATTACGCGGTACAGCCCCAGAAGACGAAGGCAATAAATGCCTTTGGAACAAACCCACAAATCTCTGATGATCAAGTAAAACCTGACCATCAGTTTCCTTCATCTGGTCAAGCTTCCTCTTCATGTTTGTAGCATAGTCATGTGCGAGCCGGTGCAACTGTTTATTCTCATGCTTGAGCCCTCTAATCTCCTGTTTGACTCACTCAGCCTCAGCACGCTCAATGATTCAAAATTCTTGGGCGGGTTTCTTGAGCCCTTCAACATAGGCGTTGGGATTGGGCCATATTAGACACAGAACATGCACACTGAACACTGAGAGCCAGCGAATCCTTAACAGCTAACTCATCAGACCGTTTGGAAAGTAGTCTGTTATCTTTGGGAGTGAGAGAAGGTTCCTGGCCACCACCGCAGCAGTCATATCATTCTTCATCACGGAATCCCCAACGGTAAGAGGACCAGTAGGGGAGACGAAGGATGGGCGCCATATATGTTGTCTGGAGAAGGCGGGGCTGCCTCTTTCAACAAGGTTCAAGTTAAACGTCGGAGGGGCCAGACATTTTCAAAGGTGTTGAAGAGAGAAGAGGTTGGACAAATCAAGATCTTAGAAGTGCGAGAATGGAGCTTCTACTGGTGGAGATTCAAGTGTGCTTTGGAACTTAATGCCAGCCCCTATAAAAATCTGCACTCGACGGAGCTTCAGAAATCGAAGAGGCGCCTGCTCAGAAATCGAAGAGGCGTTTGCTTTCTCAAAAGTTGGGCTGCTTAGAGACCACGAGGGTTGATCTCAGAAATCGAAGAGGCGTTTGCTTTCTCAAAAGTTAGGCTGCTCAAAGACCACGAAGGCCGATCTCAGAAATGGAAGAGGCGCTCGCTTTCTCAAAAGCTGGGCTCCTCAGAGACCACGAGGGCCGATCTCAGAAATCGAAGAGGCACCTACTTTTCCAGCCTTGTCAGCACCACCTGTCACACGCACACTCAGCTTTGCGGAAATTATGGGCATTTTTGTCGAAGACTTCTGAGGAAGTAGAAAACACATGAATCTTACTGTTCAATCACCACTTCCCACACGCAACAATAGCTCATGGGTACCACAGATAACTTTGCCAAAGTTCTCTGCCAAAATTGAGCACGTAAAGCTTGCAGCTCCCACTACATCGCTCTGACCAAGAAAGGTAAAAGAATAGCAAAGAAACAGCACTAACAAAGTTTAGACCCATAAATTTTGAAGGTCTAGCTACCATATTATTACCCACAAGGGTAAAGGAACAGTACCACTGCTGGATAATTGGAAAGTCCCTGTGTGTCAACCTCGTGGCAAGGTAGACTAGCAACATGCCCAACCTTTTCACACTCGAGAAAACACTCCAATAAGCTTGCTCCTTGCTCCAAATCTCGAGAGCCAGACTAACTTTCTTCAAAAATCAGGAACAGTACCTTACTGGATAATTGGAAAATCAACCTCTGTCTCGTCTTCGAAGGCAACAGACTAGCTGGATAATTACCCAAAAATCCCTGAAGATGTTGCTCCTCTGTCTTCGTCCGAACTCAAGTAGACTCCCAAACACCTCTCAAAATCTTAACACTCCCCGAATCTCGAAAGCCAGACTCCCAGCATGATTGCTTTCTTAAAAATCGAAAGAGGCACCGTCCTCGAATCTCGAAGAGCTTGAACTGATTACTTTCTCAAAAAGCTTGAGGCTTGCTTTTCAGAGAAATGCCTTCTGAATCGCACCTACTTTCTAGCTTTCAGCACCTTGTCATGAGACGCAGCTCAGCTTTCGGAAATTATGGGCATTTTCTTTGCATAGCCACTTTCTTCAGACCACTTTTTCAAAGTGCTCTGACAGAGTTAAAACATGTTGAAGCTGACAGCTCCCACTACCGTGCAATGACCAAGCAGGGTAAAGGAATAGCATTACTACTTGTTAGGGAGACTCCTATATATGTCGACCTCCATCCCCAACGGACAGGCAGACCTGCAAAAATGCGCAACCCTTCCTCATATCTGAGAGGGCACTCCCAACGAAGCCTTTCGAAATATTCAGCTTTCTTTCCCCCCGATAATACCTCTGCAAAGAAGCTATACTAGAGCAAGAATATATCTCATATCATCAGGGTTAAAAGCAAGAGTATCCCATATCATGCTTTTTCCCTGTCTTTTCCTTTGGCCTTGTTTTTACCTGCAAGACAAGAAGAAAGAGAGCAATCAGTCAGCACTTGGAATCAAGCTTCCAGCCAGGAACTGACTGCTTGGAACCCCTTACCTGATTACTTACCTGGCATTGCTCTCGAGTACTCATCTTCAACATCTTGTTTCCAGGGAAGATATCTGCGAGGATATTACGAAGGAAGGGCATGTGGAGACAAGCGTAACAGCACACGTGCCGTGCCATTACATCCATTACTCTGTCAAAAGCAAAAGTATCCCATATCAGCAGGGTCGAACGTACTCTAGATTTGATGGACTTGTTTTGACCCTCAAAATTCTTCAGTCGGCTCTGGAGGAAACCAGAAAAACCCTCCAGCTCAGTTCAAGAATAAGCCTGTGGAAAGTTACTTCTTCAAAAGCAAAAGTATCCCATATCATCTCTTCTCATTTTTCTTCTCTTTATCCTTCATGCTGCTGCAAGATGGGGAGAAGGTGAACAATCAGCCGGAGCTCTGATTGCTTACCTTGTCTGTCACCTCTTTCAGCAGATCCCTTAGCTCGGCGACTTGGGGGACTCCTACTACATGGTTTGTATTGCGCTTGACCAAGCCTGAAACTACAAGTAAGCTTCAAGTGAAATTGATACATTACCTTGTGCATCTCCACCAGTTAAAGATACCACCCCTGGATGGAGGAAGAGTACTTCCAGAGAAGATGCCACATCTACCTATGAGACAGATAAGGCAAGTCAAGACGATACCACACTCCGATACTTAGAAGTTTCGTGATTACGAGATCATCCTCTCACAATATTTCCTAATGTCATTTGTACTAAATCATTCACTTGTACTCACTAAATGAGAGCTTGAACCTATGTACTTGTGTAAACCCTTCACAATTAATGAGAACTCTTCTATTCCGTGGACGTAGCCAATCTGGGTGAACCACGTACATCTTGTGTTTGCTTTCCTATCTCTATTCATTTATATACTTATCCACACTAATGACCGGAGCAATCTAGCGAAGATCACAAAAAGCGACCGTTTTCGCTACCTAGGATCTATCTTGCAAGAGAACGGAGAATTAGATGGAGATCTCAACCATAGAAGACGAGCTGGATGGATGAAGTGTAAGAGTGCATCCGGCGTGTTATGTGACCGTCGTAGGCCACTGAAGCTCAAGGGAAAATTTTATAGGACGACAATAAGGCCAACGATGTTGTATGGCACAGAATGTTGGACGGTGAAGCATCAACACGTACACAAAATGGGTGTAGCGGAGATGAGGATGCTTCGTGGGATGTGTGGGCACACGAGAAAGGATAAGATTGGGCATGAGGATATCCGAGGTAAAGTAGGAGTAGCCGAAATTGAAGGAAAGATGAGAGAAAATCGGTTCCGGTGATTTGGACATGGGCAAAGAAGGCCGACTGACGCTCCGGTTCAAAGATGTGACTACGGGACAGAGGTTCAGGGCCGAAGGGGTAGAGGAAGACCTAGGAAAACTTTGGAAGAGACTCTAAGAAAAGACTTAGAGTACTTGGATCTAACGGAGGACATGACACAAAACCGAGCGCAATGGCGTTCTAGGATTCATATAGCCGACCCCACTTAGTGGGAAAAGGCTTTGTTGTTGTTGTTGTTGTTGTTGTTGTTGTTGTTGTTGTGGTGTGAATATGGTTCTCAATGAATTTCATTTCGTGTATTGTCCAAATACATTTCTATCCGCTTGTATTGTAAGTGTGTAGGCTTTTTTTACATGTTTCATCTACCCGGTGATTTTCTTTTTCTGTTGTCCGTTCTTCAGGCTTTTCTTTTATGTGAAAGTGAGTTTTGGTTTGCAGGCGAGCAAAAGGGAACTGAAAAAACATTAGCTAAGCGGCCAAGTATGTTGAAGAAGCTTAAGAAATATTTCAGCTTCACAAAGACGAAAACTTAGGTTTAGAGATTTTCGCGACTAAGGGTGACATCAGTTTCAGACCGGGGGAGGGCGTGGGGTGTGAATTCGTGAGCGGATTGCATAATGGGATGAAGTGTGCGTACGGTGTAACATGAGACTGGTGTGGCGACTGCAGAAAGTGGGATTTGAGGTTGTAAACAATCGATCATGTCTTCATGTGATCGATCTATGAAGACATTATCGATCTGTCATAAACGTCCTCTCGTATATTGGCATTCGCAGACGTGTGGATGCAACTTTTGGAGCCTCTGCAGTTCGAGTGGCCCTTTATTAACAAGCGCGTAGACGTTAATATCGTTGAGAGTGCCGTCTTCTTCGATGGAATGCAGTGTTTGATTATGTACTGTTGGTTTCTATTACATATAATATACGTATTTCTTTTCTATTTTTCTGCCTTCTGTCTTTATTTTTTTGATAAATTTTCTCTGATTTCTTGGTGACAAAACAAATCAAATTTTCTCAAAACTCAGTAACTTGCGAATTTGGCGACGGTACATGCATTTACTTACATTCACTATATAACGGCTGCGGTATATGCCTTCAAAAACGTATTGCTTGAAAGATTGTCTATCTACATCAGATGTTGGAAGAATTCAGAGTCAAAGATTATATTCTAACACTACCACTTTTGAGTGGTATGAAGTAAAACGGGTTGACCTGAAATCTGAATAAAACTTAGGCGATTATAATTCACACTACAACAAAGAGCTCACATCGCTAAACCCAAAATCATAAACCCTAAACGATTTTCTCTCCAACAAATTGGAAGTCCAAATTAATTTAAATTTTCACGAAACATTTCATCTATTTATGACCTTTTTTCAAGTGCCATTGCAAATTACTCTTCAGAATTCTATTTTTATTGATCAAATTAGGGGCACAATGCAACTTGAATTTGGATGAACACAATTGAATTTCAATTTAATGTTCAAAAGAAAGCATAATTTTTTTATTATAAGATGGAATAAACTGCAAATATTTCATTTCAAATCACCAAAGGTAAAGTCAAGAAAAAATTACAAGTATATTTTTAATACTTAATTTTATATGACAAACAATCAAAATTCTTTAAATGACTATGGATAAAAGTAAATACCCTAAATCAATTACATATTATTAAAAAAATTCCTAATTTTGTCATTCCGAGATTAAATTTTGGCGTATACGATTTTAAGATCACTGAAACTTATAATTGTAATTATAGTATTTCCTTTTTTTTTTTAAAACAAAAAAGACAAAAAAAGATGAGTTGCCACGTAGCCATCTCAAAATCCACCAAACCTCCAACACAACGCAAAGGACACCCAATCCGCAAGTACAAAAATATCCTCTCTCCCTCTCCACCATAATCTCTGATTTCTGCTGAGTCTATCGAGTGTTATTCTGCTTCTGCAAACAATGGCAACCGCAGCACAAGCTGTGATTGCAGCAGCAAACACATTCACATGTACATTTCCTACACAAAGGAGCTTCTTCTTCTCCAGAAAACTTCAAAAAGTTAACCATCTCACACTAGTTAGAGCTTCCACTGAAGATGCTGACTGTAATGTGGAAGAATGTGCTCCTGACAAGGAGGTAACCCTCTCTCTCTCTCTCTCTCTCTCTCTCTCTCTATATATATATATATATATATATATATGTACATATATCTGTCTGTATCACGTATGTAATTATGTATGTATGTATATAAACTCTACCTTAGGTGTTTGGTGTAAGATTGTTAATGGGTTTGATCTTAAAGTTGGATATGCTTATTTTTGTGACTTAAAATTAAGTGTTTAATTAATTGGCAAGCAAAAGTCTTGAATTTAACCCATCAATGTTGGAGCTTTTTGCAGTGATGGGCTATTTGGTAATACCAGATTACTGGATTGGATACCTGAGTAAAGAGAGACCCTAATTTAGGATTAAGTTTAACTATAATTAGTTAGTGATTTTCCCCTGTAATTCTTTCACTTCTAGTTATGTTTTCTGTAGTAATTGGGGAGACTTGTTGCTGCCTTAGACGCTAATTTAGGATTAGGTTTTACTATATCTAGTTGGACTTCAATCACATTGCAAAACAATATGTTTGAATTCTGAAAGACAAACAAATGAAGATTTTTGCTTGGTCTTTGTATTCTTTTCATGGACTTGTCTACCGCGTATCCTCATGGCATCTAGGCAGTTTGAAGAGTGAATTCCTGAAGGGAAGAAACGACTCAACTGCTCTTTGATTGAATCTGGATTTGAAGCACTTTTAGTTGTTTTTGTAGCATAATTGGAACCTTAATGAGCAAGTATTCCTTGTTGAAATCCTGTTATGATTCACCTCACCCGTGCCTTGATGCTATTGGTATACTGTCTAAGTCTCCCTTTGCATCGTTCATTGTACTGGAAGAAAGTTTGTAAATCTCTGCCACCAGCGGAAGCCCATACACAGCAAGAAATTGTTGCAATGTGTCTGGAAAATTTTTGCCTGTATCTGTGGATGGGAAAATATTACCAACTATCTGTTCAGAAATCAAAACATATTGGAGTAAAACTCTCAGAACCACAAATGTTGAAACTATTCTTGAGGTACCATTGTTCCAAGCTGTGGTGTCCTCATCCTTCTTCCTCACACGAGTCTGTCTTTCTCATGAAAAACAAATCTGACTGGGAACGAAAACCTGACAATTAAAGAGCGGTTGGTTTCTAGGGTCAATCAATGTTTATCGGTAACACTAAGTATACCTAGCTGCATTCTACTTGACAAAAAAGGATAATTAAACAAATATATTTTGATATTTTTATCGTGATGTGAATAGGTTGGAAAAGTGAGCGTGGAATGGTTGGCTGGTGAGAAGACAAAAATTTCTGGGACGTTTCCACCCCGCAATCGGGGTTGGACTGGATACGTTGAGAAGGACACTGCTGGACAGACAAACATATATTCTGTGGAGGTTAGAATTATTGCGTTCTTTTTCCTTTTTGTTTTTTCTTTGATAAATCGGTGTTTATTTCTTATCTGAATACCGAAAAAACATTGAATGTACTGGACAGAACGATTATAACTGACAATCACTGGCGGAGGCACCATGAGACTAGGGATGGCCGAGGCCTATCCTGACTTTTATGCATTTGGAAAGTATGCATCTTTCATTTGCTTGAAGCCTTGCTTTTCAAATTCCAAACATAACCCCATCGGTCCATTTCACAATTGAATTTAATATTTTATCTATCTCCCTAATACAAATTAATAGCATTTAAAATCAAAGCAACAATTCACCTTTCTTTGAAGAGTAATAGTTCAGTTTTAGTCATAAAAATTAAGAAACAATCATCTTTTACAATGCAGCCAGACTTCAAAACTTTCCCCTTTCTTTTTGAAATCTCATACATTTTATCATCCAAATCCGAAATGTCGTCAACAAATAAGTCTCATATTTCTTTAATTCTCTATTGTTTCCTCTCTATTCTACACTTACATGAGAGTTAAGATCGTTCGTAAAATTTTTGTGAATGAAATATTATCGATGCATATATATTATGGAATTTTAATTACCTTTGATGCATGTTTTTTAAGAACCTTTGTAAGAGGCCCATCCTCACAAAAAATTCTGGCTCCGCCACTGCTGACAATTATGAAAGGAAAAAAAAAAAAAAAAAAAAACTCTATGAAGTTATCCAGAGCTTCAGTTGAGCGATGATACATGATAGCGTGCACAATTCAGAGGGCAAGGCAAAGTGTACAAAGTTCATTAACCATACCCTCCAAAGAGATGTTTAAAACCTACTAATGAATATTGTGGCTATCTGTTCAGAGGGTTTGGTTGTTTTTTCTCTTTTCCTCTCTTATTTGCTCGAGACTTGAGTATATTTCACGTTATAGTGTGTCAACTTTCGTAACTTGTCTACGTTCTCCAGCCTGCAGTTTACGTAGCAGAAAGCGTAATAAGCTCTGGAACTGCAGGGTCTTCTGCCGATGGAGCTGAGAACACAGCAGCAATCACAGCTGGGGTTGCCCTCATTGCTGTTGCTGCAGCTTCATCAATACTCCTCCAAGTAGGTAAGAACTCACCTCCGGTGGTGCAGAAGGTAGAGTACTCTGGGCCATCACTTAGTTACTATATCAGCAAGTTCAAACCAGAGACAACCGAAGCCTCGGCGCCAAGTGTGGTTGAATCTTCCCAGCCGGAACCCTCCCAGATTCAGGTTGAATCAGAGGTTCAGCTGGAGCCTTCAGAGAGTGATGTCAGCAATATCTCTTAGGCAATGAAACTGCTCTAATTTTCTGATATGTAAAATTTACTAAATTTTTTTCTCTATCATCATCAATGTATCTGAGTAATTGTTACTATGTATGTCGTGATACATCTTTGAACAAAAAAGTGTAAATCACAATACACAAGTTGGAGGGAATGTGATTTTGGAAGAATATGACAGATTTTGTATGTCATTTTAGAATAGCTAAATGTGTTTTCAAGTAACCCAAAGCACTTCTAATGACAATGATTGTCAGGAAATGTAAAAAGAAAAAAAAAAAAAAAAAAAAAAAACATTCACGGAACACAGAAAGCATGGAAGTGTTTTTTAGAAGCACATGCTTCTTCAGGAAGCATTTCAAGCACTTCTCTCAAGAAGCATTTCAAGCGTTTTTCTCAGGAATCACTTCAAGTTCTCCCTCTCACTAGTTGCCATCTCCTCCTAGCCCATGTAATGGTTGTCCGATTGTTACTCTCGGCAGGAACTAAATTCATGCTCTCATAAATTTTGGTCATGGCGTGCATCTTACTCTGAAGAGACATTTCGTGGTAGTCTGATTCGTTCTGTTGAAATTTCTGGGTTGTGCAGCACGAAGGCGGGAAGGTCTTTAAAACCCTCCAGTGGTTAGTCCACAGTTTGGACAAAGAGAAGGTTACTTTGGGAGTCATTGTTGCTGAGGATGAAAGTAGGACATCACGTCACTTGAGGCATTGTGCGTCCGAGCAGAACATAGCAGTGACGGAAAGTTATTAATTATTACTTTTACAAGTACATTGGCTCACATGCTATTTTTCCTATAAAATTAAAAATTGAGCCTACATCTTTTTTTCAGAATTTAGTTGGATCATAAAAGCTTGCATTAGATAAGCTCCTTCTGTTTCCAGATAAAGGTCGTCCCGCTTTACCAACAATTTAGATCTGAGAGATCCCAGTTTCTGCAACAGCATAGGTAGTAGATGTGCTGTATGTATTTGTAATTTGTAGGATACATAGTATGGCGATTCCTGAGCTTGCGACCACACGTAGGTAAGTTTGGCGACCGTAGGCAGTAGATGTGTCCATGTATTTGTAATTTATTAACATGTAAGAAGGACAAATATCCTCTCTTCTTATTTCAATTGGTTTATCACCTTATTTTTCATCAAAAATTTTATTTCAAGGAAACAAAATTCTACAGATAAATCACCTAATCCTTACAATATTCTCTCTTGTATCACCAATCTCCATATCTTGACCTTTATATATCTTCTTGTTTGTGCTTTGGCTTGCCAAGTGATGAGACTCTATATAAAGAAATTACAAACTAAACGATTTTCTGTTTCTCAATATGTACCATGGGCTATTTAAAGAAAAACTCTAAAACGAAAATGAAAAGAAAAAAGGCCTACCATACATGCATAAGACCTAAAATACATGCAAAATAAGGAATACACGTGGAAGTTTCTATTTCCATGTAAACTTAGTAACACTGGGCATATCAACTTGTTAAACTAAATTTATAAAATATGTGACGTGTCATCAATAAAAAATATGCATGTTAATCAACAGTTAAGTAATAATATAATCATCAATAATCAATCATATAATTAAGAAAGTCAAGCGAATATTTTTTTTAATACATTGTTTTGAGTCACTAGCTTCTACACATATCGTTGTCTAACTTGTTAGGTAGCCCTACTTTAGTATGAGCTGCCCATATTAATCCCTGGGACATTTTTCTTTTCTTTATCAGTTGTTCAACCTTCAAAGTGCCTACCTTAGGCACATAGTGTACGATTTATAAGGGATTAATTAATTAGTCAAAAATTAATAAATTGCAGCAGAAAGCTCAAGGGCCGGCCAGCATTCTTTCCATGTGATTCACCAAATTCGGCTTAGTTTATGAGCCACAAAAAAGTTGCATGTTTCAGCTTGAAATATATATATAAATATATATATATATATATATATTTATATACGTATGTGTGTGTATATGTTGTACCATACTTGATTAATTTCGAAACTATCAAGCATTGATCAAATTCATACATTTAACAATCTAATGAGAGGTTCATTCTGAGGTACTTCTCCCAAAATACAAGAGTTTTCCTCCAATCAAAAAGTAAATCACAGCATGACATGTGTCAAAGTCACAATAAAGCATCTAAAATCCCAGATCGATCGCAGACCTAAGCTGAAGATCCTTCTCAACTATAAAAGAAGATTAATTTCCTACAATTAAGAATTCTTAATATCATTATTGTACTTAAATTCGTTATTAGAACTCAACAATATTCTAAAAATCAGCCTAGAGGCCCGGTTAGGCGCTAGACAATGGTCACATTCATTTATTAAATATCGTGCGATTATTGTTCGTCAGGTACTGTTTATATTTAATTTTAATAAAAAATTTATAATAATTTATGATTGTGCAATATACGATAAACAAATGTAATTAAATTTTTTTTGAATTCTTACAAAAAAATCAAAAGAGGATCCTCATTCTCATAAACCAACTAACTCAGCTACATTAAGAATGGTGTCCCACCTCCCTCCCTTCTATGCGTCTCTTTCCCTCCTTCCCTCCCTTTTTTATTTAATTTCTTCAAATTGTTAATTTAAAAGCTTTCTTTTTTTTCATTCAAAATAATTAAATGATTTCTAACCCACATGTCGCACTTCTTTATCTCTCTTTAAATTTAGTATAAATTCATATAACATTTTAAAATTATTTTGTAAAGTATTAAAATGTATAATTATATAGTAAATATATTTAAATTTGTCTAGTCATATATATTTATGTCTACGCGCCGCCTAACTACCTAAATGCTAGTCGGATCCTTATTCAGTAGCCCGACTAGCGACTAACGTCTTTTAAAACTATGAAACCCACTAATGATGATTATGCTTGAACCTATATATTATATATGTAAGCCCTTCACTATTAATGAGAACTCCTCTACCCCGTAGATGTAGCCAAACTTAAGGTAAACCACGTATATCTTATGTTTACTTCCTTATCTCTATCTTTTTACATATTATCATCACTAGGTGACCCAGAGCAACCGAGCGAAGGTCACAAACTCAACATTTTACGTTGTTCAAAAGTCTCATTGATTTTGTACATCAACCATACTAATGATATGAAATTGGGTATAATTTCAATCTCATTCTTGTTCCCAAGTTGATAAAGGAACATGATTTTTTAAAACCAATGCTTTTCAAGTTTAATGTTATTCCTAATTATGACATCAAATTGTTTGTTTCTTTATATGTCTATTGACATGAACTTAAATCTTCCTTGCATTTAGGTAGTAGATGTACTGTATGTATTTGTAATTTTGTATGATACATAGTATGGCGATTCCTAAGCTTGCCACCGCATGTAGGTAAATTTTGCAACCGTAGGCAGTAGATGTGTCCATGTATTTGTAATTTATTGTGTCCATGTATTTGTAATTTATTAACATGTAAGAAGGACAAATATTCCCTATTTTTATCTCAATTAGTTTATTATCTCAATTAGTTTATTATCTCCTTATTTTCCATCAAATAGAAATTTTATTTCCAGGAAACAAAATTCTACAGATATCACCTAGTCCTTAAACTTGACGCAGACCCATATCTTCATCGATCTTAGAGACTGCCGCAGTCGTAGCGGGTATGGCCGTGTGACTCGCTAAACAGGACTGCCAGAAGGACAATGCATATGAGCTTAACAAACTGTGATGAAGTATGAAACATTTTCCCAATCAGGTATGTCTGCAAAGACAATCGCAGAACTCGAGTCTTTCGCTCTTTCACATACTGATCCAACGCTTCCTCTACCATCAGTTTAGTTCCTCTTCCTCTTAGATCAACGCGAGTTTTCTGAGCTAGGCACCGAGCAAGCACAACTGCATCTTCTAGTGCGGCTGAGCCACCTTGTGCAAGGAAAGGTCCCATGGTATGCATGGCATCTCCCGCCAGTGACACAGTCCCCGCGCGAGAGGGTATTCGTAGTATGTCCCATGGTGCATGGTATCTCACGTACTCTGTGAGATGTATAGAGTCTAGCTCGCAATTCTTAAACATCTCTATGATGCTTGTAGGGAAGCCCTCCACCGATTTCACTCCCAACTCCCGAATTAGTTTCTGGTCCTTAGAAGCTGCCGAATCTGTTCATAAAAAGGTAAGTCCGCATTTTAATAATATTATACGAATATGTACATAGTGCTTGTGATAATATTATACATTTATGTTATAGTTCTAACGAAATAAACGATAGAAACGACATAGTTTTACGTACCTTGAGAAGAATGTTTTCGAGTCATGAACCAATACACCAGGCTTTCGGTCATGGGGAGTCGTCCCACCTGAGTATCATCTTTTCTCGTTAAAGTGAACTCACTACCGAATTCATGACCATCTGGATATCTTGTGAAGCCTCTTATGACACATATTCTGAAAATATTAGAAGCCTTCATCCCCATCACATTTGATACGATTGAGTTCACTCCGTCGCATCCAATCACAACCTGCTTCCACATTAGTATACATGCATAACCCAAAACACAAAATGCAAGTCATATTGATTAGTTTGCAGGCTAGCAAGCTATGACAGACTTTTCCCTGCATCGCTGCTATGGTAAGATCTCCTCTTTGAAAGAAAAAAAAAATTAAAATCGAAAGAAATCTGCATTTGATCTTATCTCAAGTTGGAAACATACACTTTGTTAAAAGTACAACACCAGCCCAAATAATAAAGACTGGCCCATGATGAAGAAACAAAGGAGAAAGCATGCATATGCTAGAATCTTTTAGCATGAGTGTGTCGGTGGGAACAAGCTAGAATTGTCTAGCAATTATAACAAATGTGTGGTCATAAGAAAACGTCCATGTCGGTAGGCTGGTTCTAGAATAACAAGATTAGTATTATGTATAGCCCATGTCGGTGGGGCAATAGGATAATCGGCAAGGCCACCTATAAATATGGGTGTGGTGTAACCAACCAACCAATCAAGAAATCAAGTAGTAGTAGTAGGCAACCAAGTGAGAGTGAGAAGCAAAAATAGTCTTGTAGGAGTGTGAGTAGTGTGAGTGATCTAGAGTGTTTCTAGAAAGTGAGTGAGTGTTATTGCTTCTAAAGTTGTGTTCTTGTGAGTGTTGTAATATTTTGTGTGTGTAATACAAGTAATTTGTTTACTTGTGTTGTCTCTCCAACACTTGTGTTAGAGTTGTGTATTCTAAGTTTTCTTTCCAACACACTTTTTTTTGCCAACTTATGTAAACAGATATAAAATACGTTGTTTATGAGTTAGAATTGACATTAGAGGTCGCACTTGGTGCGATGGCAAGTGCCTTCGTCCATGAGCGGTAGATCTCGGGTTTGAGATTTGGGAGCAGCCTCTCCATAAAATAGGGGTAAGGTTAGTCGACATTCATCTCTCCCAGACCCTGCGTAAAGCGGGAGGTTTGTGCACTGGGTCCGACCTTTATGAGTTAGAATTGACATTACTTGGCATGAATTCGTAAATCATGCAAGACCGGTTAACACAGACAATAAACAGATTGACTCGGTGTCAGACAACTATACAAGACCAATTAACACAGACAGTGAACAGGTTGACTTGGTGTCAGACATGACTAACCTAATCTCTTACAAGAGTAGTGTTATTAATTAGTATTATAGGAACAAAATAACCCCTTACTTAATATTTATATAGATAAAAAACAAACAACACATGAAGTTGTACTGGAGAAGTCAGAACAATTAAGCATTACTTACCTTGGGGTTCAAAATTGTTCCATCTTGAAGTTGAAGAACTGGAGAAGAAGTTCCGGGATTCAACTTAACAGAATGCACTTCGCACCCGAAACGTACAGTGTTTGGAGGCAAGTTATCAGCCAAAACACTAACGAGATCAGTCCTCTTCAAAACTCTCAGTTCTTCTTTCCTGTAAATTATTTATTCACCTTATTACTTTTTATTAAGAATCTAAACGACACCTCATCAACGTTTCACATAATAGGAAACATTAAGGTAAAAGTAGACATCATAATTAAAGATAGAAGTCTAATCAAGTTGTTAGTCCAGTGGTATTAATTTCTCATCTCAATGTTCAAAGATATCTCCAATTTGAATCTTTATTTCCGCGTGTATAGATAAGAAAGGTCCAAACCTAAAGGGAGATGAAAGTTTGAGAACTCACCCTACATCCATATTTTCAATTTCACCACTACCGAGTGAAATAAGTTGTCCGCTGAAGATAAATAAAAATATTAATTAGACCATACGTAAGAAATCTGATAATTTATGGAAAATTAGAGAGAGAGAGAGAGAGAGAGAGAGGAGATAGAGAGATTCGTACGAGAGTATAGGAAAAGAAGTTTGTCTAAGGAGTGAGGCAACACCAAGCTGATCAAGTGCACGCCAGCCGTTTAGATGCACGATAATAGCTACCCCGGTTGCTGGCAATCTGTTTGATCTTTCCAGGACCACGCTTCTAATGCCTTTCCTGCATGCCAAAATTAACTACAACTATATATCATCCTAAAGTTCGAAGCATTGATGGGATTTATGACTTTCTGTCACAAAATCTGAATGGTCTAGGACCCGTACATAGCCTAAAAGAACTTGCAGAGAAAGGACTTATGATATGTTCCAGAACTAAATGAACGTACGTATGAGTTCTGGAAAAATATTGACATCTATCACTAAACAAAGGAAGTATTTAGAAAGAACAGAAATTAGGCTGGTGTAAGAGTAAAACCTGTGAAGAGCAAGAGCAGTGGCAAGGCCGCAAATCCCACCACCCACAATTACAATACTCTCTCTTGTATCACCAATCTCCATATCTTGACCTCTCTATGTCTTCTTTTTTGTCCCTTGGCTTGCCAAGCGATGAGGCTCTATAAAGAAATGACAACAAACTAAACTATATTCTGTTTCTCAATATATACCATGGCCGCTATTTAAAGAAAAACTCTAAAAACAAGATAAATAAAATTAAAAAAAACCCTCACAACTACGTGCCTAAAATACATGCAAAACAAGGAATACAAGTGGAAGTTTCTAACTCTATACAAATCTAGAGTAATGCTAGGTCGACCAACTTTTTAGACCAAATTTGTAAATCATGTGATGTGTCACTAGTAAAAAATAAGCGTATTAATCTATATTTAATAATTCAATTATCAATAATTACTTCATATATTTTACAAAATTTAATCTGAATATTTGTCTCCTTAACATTACCCACAAACTTACTAGATAACGAAAAGCTCAAGCAAATACTTAATATATTGAATTACTAGCATCTAAACATCTAGTCGCCGAACTTGATAACTAGCCCTACTTTAGTATGACCCATATTGATCCCTAGGACAGTTTTTTATTGGTTGTTCAAATTTCAAAGTGACTACCTTAGGCACATAGTTTACGATTCAGAGGGAATAAATGTGCAACAGAAAACGCAAGGGCGGGCAAGCATTCTTTGCATGTGGTTCACCAAATTCGGCTTAGTTTATAAGCCTCATAAAGCTTGCATGTTTCAGTTTGAAATAACTATATATATATATGGGCCAGCATTCTTTGCATGTGGTTCAACAAATTCGGCTTAGTTTATAAGCCTCATAAAGGTTGCATGTTTCAGTTTGAAATAACTATATATATATATATATTATACTGATTGTATAGAATTGGGTATAAGTTCAATCTCATTCTTGTTCCCAAGTTGGTAAAGAAACATGATACCAATACTTTTCAAGTTTAATGTTATTCCTAATTATGACTTCAAACTTGTTGTGAATAATATGTGGATGGCCCATATAAATAGTTTTTTACTATTTATGCACAGTATTTTCACTATTTATTTGTGGAAAATTTGTAAAATGAATAGTGTTTTCTCTTTGTTTATAAAATGATTGAAAGGTGAAGAAGAGGAGGGACCCATGGGAGAGATAGGAAGGAAGAAAGGAAGAGAGAAAAAAAGAGGAAGAGAGAAAAAGAAATGAAGAGGAGAGGAGATAATAGAGAGAGTTATCTTTGTACTCATATTATTCCAAATTATAATGAAAGCACCACTGCTGCCCCGATGACGTACTCTAGTCACACTGACTGTAGAGGAACCTCGTAAATTTTGTTTCTTGTTTATTTATTCTACTGCACACACCGTCTATTTTACAACACGTTATCAGCACGAAAAACTCTCATGTCAGTGGAAGGCACAACGCCATAAATCCGATGAAGCATTACCTACCTTCCACCTCTACTAGCCAAAAATCTCACAGAATAAAAGAGATGTCCATTTTCTGTATCTCCCACCTCGCCAGAAGCACCCCACTGAATTCTGGTGAGAATTAAAATTTACAACGACCTGAAGTTGTCACGAGATAAGAAAACTCGTACTTGACAACTGGTTTCTAGAGATCCAGAAGAATCTCGTTAGACTTGGAAACCCAGAACGCGTCGTTCTTGACGGATCTCGAGGACTCACAGTAATTCTAGCCTTGAGTTTTACACTGCTCGCCCTGGCGCCCATGGCCACCATCTTTTGATGGCGTTGTAGTCCTCTGAAATAAAGCTTGGCGTTTCAGACCCTATAATTCTCTCTTTGTCTGAATTAAGCTTGAAAATCCTCAGAGCTCCCTGTTACCTACAAGAAGTTGAGAGATAATTAAGTATGATGGTTTCTGCTCAGGGCAAAGAAAAGCCAGCGCCATAAAGCTCCAGAAGAGCTCCTTTGATGCGTTGGAATTGTGCACAGAAAAGAATAAAAAAGGAAATGGGGCCAAAGATTTGGAAAGGTGCGTTGGAATTGTGCACAGAAAAGAATAAAAAGGGAAATGGGGCCAAAGATTTGGAAAGGTGCGTTGCACCATGTAAAATGAAAGAAAAAGGCAAAGTTTTTTGGAATGGTATAGAATGTGAATGAATAATAATAATAATATAATAAAAGAGGGTCAAGGTTTTTGGATGGTGTTATACCATCTGAAAAGAAAGAAGAAAATATATATTTATTTATGTGAATGGTGTTGGCTTAAAACACTTTCATAAGTTTTATTTATTTAAAACAATTTATTTACAGTGGGTAGAATTATTACCCTTTGCTTTAAAGCTTTGATATTTATGTGTATGGTGTTGGTTTAAAGCCCATGTCACAAGTTCTATTTACTTTAAAGCAATTTATTTATCATGGACGGTTTTTCCACCTACTGCTTTAAGTTTTGATTTATGTGAATGGTGCTGAATTAAAGCCTTTGTCACAAGCTTTATTTACTTAAATGCAATTTATTTACTATGGCTGGAATTACCGCCTATTGCTTTAATTTATTTATTGTACTTACCTTTTGTTATGATAAATATATATATGGCCTAAAGTTCCTTGATCATATCAGAACCTGAAGTTTCTTGATCCTCATCACATAAAATGATTGGACCCGAAGTTCCATCATGCAAAAGATCAAGCATGAAGTCCCTAGATCCTCAAGATCAGACATGAAGTTTCTTGATAAGTACCTTAAGTTTGAAGTGCCGCAATGTCTCAACTTAATTGTAATAAAAGTCATAAGAGTCTCAGTCTACAGACTATTAAATAAGGACCATAAGTTCCTTATGTCCATACTCAAAATGGTTTAGCAGAAGCATTTATTAAGCAGATGAAATAATTACCCGCGCTCTGCTCATGAAAACGAAATTGCAAGTTTTCTACATGTGGACATGCCATTGTACATAATTCACTATTAAGTTTGGTTGAGACCAGTTACCAATCATCGATATTTCTTAGTACAACTCGTGTTTAGGCACCAGCCAAACATTACACATTTACGAGTTTTTGGTTGTGTTATCTATGTGCCTAGGTATGAATGATTTTCTAGACCTTTTCTTTGTATGAATGATTTGACTCCATCAATTAATATTTGATTTAATTAGTGATTTGACTCCATCAATTAATATTTGATTTAATTAAATGAAAATCAAATAATTCATTTCCGCCAAGTGTTGACACGTATCCTTCTTGATGACTTGTCTGATTTTGATGAGTCACATTCATCTGTACGATTTGTAAGACACATGGCGCATGCCACGTATGCCCTGTCATGTTGAAACGTTCATGTGTTGGTGAACATTTATTTTACCAAATTTTCGATGTTTACACATGCCCCCACTTTAAGGCGCGCCTTATGCATGTACTTGTCACGTATAGAATATGTGTTTTGAAGTCTCTCGCAGGAACCAGATCGCCTCCGGATCCATATATACTGAGCCTGCTGAGCAGGCGATCCAGGTCATTGAAATTTGATCCAACGACTACAAACAGAGGGGCCCATGAAAATGCAATGGAAGAAACAGACCAACATTTCAAGTTTACAGAAAGAAAAATGATACATTTTCAACTTTACAAGTCTAAACTGGACTATTGAATAGTTGTTGGATCAAATTTCAACGACTCGAATCTCCTGCTCAGCAAGCTCAGTTTTATTGGATCAGGAAGGGATCTGGTTCCTCTCTCGCATAGTGTGTAAAAGATGTGACAAAGGAGTAATGGAGTCAGTGACTAACAAGTTACTTGTCAAGTGGAAAGGATGGTGTGGACTGGTGAGAGTGAGAGGAGGAAAAGACAGAAAAAAAATAGGAAAGAGAGAGAAGAGGAAATGACGAGTGTGAAGAGTGAAAGATTGATGAAGATGTAAGTGTTGTGAATAATATGTGGATGGTCCACATGAATAGTTTGTTACTATTTATGCACAGTATTTTCACTATTCATTTGTGGAAAATTTGCAAAGTGAATAGTGCTTTCTCTTTGTTTATAAAATGAATGAGAGGTGAAGAAGAGGAGGGACTCCCGGGAGAGATAGGAAGGAAGAAAGGAAGAGAGAAAAAGAGAGGAAGAGAAGAGGAGATAATAGAGAGAGTTATCTTTGTACTCCTATTATTCCAAATTATAATGAAAGCACCACTACTGCCTCGAGGACGTACTCCAGTCACACTGACTGTAAAGGAACCTCGTAAAATTTGTGTCTTATTTATTTATTCCACTGCACACAACGTCTATTTTACAACAAACAGTACATTGTGTGTTGGATTTGGCTTGGTTTTAGGACTTAGGCTTGTTTGTGTGATTTTATTACCTTTTCATTACATTCAAGTTTTTGGTGAAGAAAAAATTTTGGTGGAGCTCTTTTTATTAAGGAAATTTTAACGAAAAGCGTATGGTATTGTTCATTCTAACGAAAAATCACATTTTTACACTAAAAAGTCAATTCTGATACTATTCACTTTACCATTTATTTTATCTTTATCGTTAAAACTCAAAATTTTCAAACATTTTTCATTAATTTTCCTTTTTATTAAAGCTCAAAACAAAAGTTGCATGTCTTTTTATCTCTTGAACAAACAAAAGAACATTACAACTTAAAGCCAGAATGCACAACTAAATTTAAAGAACGGGCCAAATTGCAGGATGTGAAGGACAGTCACAATTCCAACATTGCCTCCATTGAAAACCAATTAGGAGGCATACTTTCCCCAAATCCCTTTCAACGCCATTGCCACCTTGACACTTCGTGCCTTGCATGTTGTATGTACCCTTTTCTTTTCTTGGTACATTGCTAATTGAGGACCCTTTTTTATCTTTCCCAAGCAACATTAATTAACATTTTTTTTTCCTCAGATTTCACTTGAATTAGACCCTGACGAAGAACACACTGAGCTCAGGGCCATTGTTTCCATCCGGATTCATCATATAATATGTCTCCGAATCCCTAGACCCAACAACACGTTCGAACTGTGCTCGCATGTACATTAAGTCACCATCTGGCAACTCAGTTTCATTCGGTATCACCCCAGCACCCATGGACACTGCATGCAACACTTGCATCACACTCAAGCCATCCCCCGTCGGTTCTCTTCTAACTCCGTACCCTGATTTCTTCCCATTGCAATACAACACCCATATCGGCTCATCAACGATCTTCGTCTTCTCACCCGGTTTCTTTTCGCACTCCAGGGCTATTCTAACAAGCCCCGTTCCCATATCTTGGAGAAGCTTTCCTGTGGGTATCCCAAGCTCAAGGACAAGCATGGGAAGACATCTAGGGCTTTCCTGGATAACGAGGTTAACTCTAGCTTTACGGCACCCAAATAGGGTTCCAGTCATCCGTGTCCCTCCGTGGAGGTGTCCGTCTCCAATACGGTTTCCGTGGAGCGAAACGGGGATCTTGCATGAAGGAGATATGATTGGAAACGACCGGAAAACAGCACGAAAGCGCCGGAAGAGTTTTTTAGGTCTTGATGGGCCTTTTTTGGTGGATGGTTGGAGGGAGATATGTGGAGGTGTATTCACCGTTGGTGTAGTTGGTTTGGGGTTTTGGGACCATGGCGACGACACTGGTAGCCGTGGCGGTGGTGGTTGTGCTTCCACCGCTGCCATAAGAAAAATTGGTGGTAGGTAGGTTGCTGAATTGCTCGGGACGGCAATGCTTGAGTGATGATTTGGTGAGAGCTTGGGTTGTGGTAAAGAATGAGTTAGGATGTGTAAGAAGAGGAATTTAAGTATGTAATTTTGTGGTGTGCACGTTGCGATTATTGATGAATAGTTTAATGGGGGAACTAAGGTATCGAATGTTTTTTTCCTTGTTTATAGTGACTCTGGTTAGGCTTTTAGTTTGGTGGTTTAGCTAAAGATAGATATATTAACAAAGCCGTACGTGGCAATAAGCTTTTTAGTTTTTATTTCTTTATTTTATTTGCGTCAACATGTTTCTAGATATTTTCGAAGCTACTTATTAACTCCAGTTGAGGAAACAAATTTAGTGTGTCCGGTAACGAGAATACGGATGATACATTACGTGTTTTTATGTAAGTGGTGAAATTTTTTATTTTTTAAGTTATTTACTTTTTCCCATCATTTATATAGTAACATGTAGTGTACCATCCCGTGCCGATCATACTGAAAAATCTCTCACGGTGTACGGAGTGTTACTTCACATGAAAAAAAAATGATATACTACTTCGTGTTTCGAACAAACTGAAAAATCTCCTCCAATTGAGGCTTTATTGTTGCCTTGCACACGAGAAGAAATATGTACGATAAGTAGTGCACTCTTAATTTTCTGACATTAGTGCTTATCTACTAATCAACTTGATAAGTATTCTTAATTTGGAAAGAAAAAAAAAGAACATTGGTCATCATCCCTTCAAATGAATTTTGATACAAATTGTAACACAAATAAGCCATATTAGCAATGCTTTTTTTCCCCACATAATTTGTAAAACGTAAAATATCTCCCTTTAATTCTTATTTCTTTTTAATTTTAAGTTGTCACATAATTTTTGAAGGTTAATCTAATCAGCCGTCCGGTACTTCAGTTGACTTTTGTTCTTGCCAGTTGACTATGAATATTATATTTTACTTAGTTTTCGTTTCTCATTTTACTAACCATTTTAGTAATGTTTGGTTCAATAAACATATTGTCTTTCCTCAATTCCAGATACTGAATATACTTTCGTTTAAATTGTTAAAAAGTTATCCACAAGATCGATAATATCAGAAGTAATATAAAACTCTCCATAAACTATAAAAAAAATTTGACAAAAAACATATATAAATTCTATTAAAGGAAAAAAAAAAAAAACTAGAATGTTGACGTGTAATTAGTCCATTCCTAACTTACACTAATATTGTCTTAACTTAACCACTTATTGTTAGGTGTTGGATTTTATTATAAAAAATCTCAGTATTTAAGTAGTGAAGCCATACACTTATATATTATATTTTATTTTTTCAATTCCCCGATATTGGACTTATATTCAACAGCCACTACCCAAAAGAAGTTTGGTAACCTTTATTTTCTAGTAAGTACAGTTAACCACATATATTCAGAGCGACCCGTTACAAAAGGAGCCAAGGCTTTTCAAGATATGACAAAATAATATACAGTTAAGTTCATCAAACCCAACACCTATTGATATGTTGTTAGGTTAGAGCAATATTGATACTTTTATGACAGACCATGCTGGCTCTAAAAAGTTTATCAATTGCAATTTGATTAAGTCGAGTTTTTTTCTCATTGTCATTACTATAGTATCAAGTTATCCACTATATGAGAACATAAGGCATACGAGGAACTTGAGCAAAATAATTTAGGGTAGTGTTATCTACAACTATTTTTACTTCTTATACATTTCGCTTAATTTTCAGTCATCGAATCGAAGAAACTAAAGAAGACAATGATAAAAAAAAATTAATAAGAATGTATGAAAAATAAAAATAAGTGCGTAAATAGCATTATCCATAATTTATTTACTTTCACCATTTTCATTAAAACTCCATGAAAGAAGTGATCAAAGGGGAAGAAAATGTCTATATAATTGACTTTAGAATAATTTGAGAGCATGTCGAGGAGCATGAAGTCAATGTTGACAACATTGAATCTTTGATCGTTTACTTCCTCATATCCAAGTCCTACAGTAGTTTGCACTAAAATGCAGCCCCTCACAAGTTTGTCTTTATTTTATCTTAGTTTTATATATTTTATTTTATAATGTTTAAGTTCTTTATTCAGTTGAAAGTTGTTAAATTAAACATTCATATTTATATTTGTAGAGAAGGGAGAGGCACTCATACGAGTCCCTCATAACAAGCATTTAAATTTTAAAGAATTGTTTTTATAAATTAAGATAAATTACATGATCATCTTTACCAAAGTGTCAGTAATAATTTTTTTTAAGTAAATAAGAACTTGTTTAGAAGTACTTTTAAAATGGTCAAAAACGTTTGATGACAATGTTCTTGGAACAAATCCTTAGTAGAAGTGCAAGCAATCCAGTCCTGCAATAAGCGCAATTATGTAATAGTTTCAAATGAACCCTAAGTAATCAAGATAGCAGCTTTACTTGCTCGAGTAAATCAAGATAGTAAGCCTGGATAAACAAATCTAGATTAAAAGGAAGCTCCCACAGCACATTTGCCGTAAATCTGGTCCTCAAGTGAGACCAATCACACAATGCACAACTCAATACCCCGAAGTGGCACAAAAGAGAAGAAAATAAGGTGGCGTAAACACCAAGGCAAGGAGTTGCCAAGCCGCACATCTGTAAAATTAACAACAAAACGTGTTGAGTCAAATTGGAGACGGGACATCGTACCAGGGCCGAACCAATACCGGTACAAAAAACCCGCCGGAATCTAGAGAATGTGGCAACGAAAAAGGACACTGGTGTGGTGGAGAACTGACCAGAGGTTGTGGTTAAGCTGAACCCAAACGCCCAAATTAGGCCATAAAGTCCCCAAATCGAAGGATTAAAGCAAGCACACAGCCTTGTGCAAGCTCCATCAACACGACATCGATCTCCAACGAGAATCGGGGTAGGTTGCTCCACCAATTTCGAACAAGAATTGGGGCCGTTGCAGGTGGCGCGAACAAAGGGCGGGGGAGGACAGAGCGAGGAGGTCGAGTTGTTACAACCCAACCACAAAAAACACCTCTTGCAAACCATATAGACTATAAGTTATAGTGATACCGATCCCAGACTGTATAGACTACAAATGTACCTCGCAATAAAAAATAATCCAAACAAGTTACAAGTTACAGCGCACACTTGAGGATGCATGTAAAGTCTTCCGAATACAACACACTACAGCGAAATTAGCACGAGCCTTCTGTAGGAAAGCGTAATTCCGTGTCTATGATGAGTTACTGAATTAAATTCACTCATTCACGTGTCGATCAAAACTGAGTAGAACAGAGAGACATCAAACCTTTGAACATTGCACACTAATTAGACGGGATTATATGTACCAAGCGCAGTAACAACCGCTCTCAAAGCAGTTGGAGCTAAGTTCTTTGACTACTGCCATGTACGCCTTTCTTTGAATAGCCTTTTAGAACCCAGTTGTAGACTCGAACTCCCTCATTGGAGCTTTTCGCTTCCCATGAGCATTACATGACGGTAAACTGCTGTGCATTTGATCATCTGTCACCACATCCATGTCTCCTTCACCTAGTGTTGGAACTTCAGCATCTTGTGGTAAAAGCGAGTGAATATGTGAATGAGAGATTTGAGGCCGGTAAGTGTTGTCAGTTTGTTGCTCAGTCGCTCCAAAGACTTCTTGTTTGGAGTCCAATGATGCTCCTCCAGAAAGGTCTTGTGCATTAAAGTCCATCTCATTAAACATGAGGTTTGCAACGGCTCTGTCAATGGTGTTCGTCTCTGATTCCATCCTTTTCTTGCTCCCTGGCCTGAATATGAAATTTATTTTTCGATCAATAAGGGCCTGAGAGACAATAACCATGACAAGGACATGGCAAAAACATTAACAAACTAAACTATAATTTGACCATCACGATTCTGCAACGCCAGTTTTCTAACCTGAAATGGACAAATTATATTCTAACGAGACAGAAGTAATGCAGTAAGTATTACAAAATATACCTGACTGTTTCATCCTGGGCTGTCCATGATGAAGCGTTTTCATTTTCCATTGCTTCATCTCCATCTTGGCTCTGTGTAGCGTGATTTTCTTTTGAGTTATTGGCAAGTCGGTACAAGGAATCTCGAAAGCAAATTCGGGTCTTCTCATTCAACTGATCATTAAAAAACAGGGTAAGATTTCATAACAAAAGATGAATGTGATGGATGTGCTTTACAACATGCGCATTATTCGGCTTGTAAAATTTAAGTTTACCTGTTTCATCACCATTTCTAGTTCATGTAATACAGACTCTTCAACTGATGACTCCTCACCACCAAGTCCAATCATGCTGGTTTCTGCTGTCTGTAACATAAACAAAACTACATTAATAAGATACTGCTGGTCAAGAAAACAATTACTACAGAAATATACAAATGCTAGTACAAAAAATCAACTGCAATAGCAGATGTTAGCAACCTTCAATGAGGGATTCTCTTTCATTTTCATGCAAATAAAAACAGACAATGAGAGAGCACAGATGCAGAAATCTAACTATATGGAGAACATACGTCTGTCAGCAAAAATAAGTGTTTTTTTTTTTTTAACATAGTGAAACTTTTCTTCAAAATAAAAGAAAGACGAGGAAAAATGTAAGGCCCATTAGTTAAATACTTTATCATAATCCTTTTATCTCTTTTCATGTAGACGGGGAGGGAAAAAAAGATGAGTGAGGAGAGATTAGAGAAGGGAAGGAGAGAGTATGGAAGTACACAACAGAGCTCTAGAAGGCTTAAAACTACAAACAATTTGTATTTGTTTTAGTTTTAAAAAAAGCATTTCTCTTTTTAATTACATAAGAAAATATAAGAATAAGATGTTATTCGATGGAATGTACAGCAATTACTCTAACTGTTTTGTAGTTAGGTGTAGAATAACAAATAATATCATTCAAAGTAAACCTTCTTATTTTCCTTGAGTGTTGAAACCAAGGAAAATAAGAAGGTTAATGTTAAAAATTTAGAGCTAGGATGATTCACAGTTACCAATAAAAACACTAGCAGATATAAAATCCCAAAAACAGCAACCTCAGGTGGTATTAAATAAAAATAGATATTACATAAAAGCACTTGGGACATTGCCATAAAATTGTGTCAAAGCACATAATGCATAAACAATGATATGGTATAGATGATAATGTGACTTGTCTTACAGAGTAACTACAAGGCCACAACACAGATCAGATTGAGGACATCAAACTTTTCAAGTTATCATATGATTCATATCCTAGTTAATGAATTTTTTCCCGAAGATGAAGTTCTCGGGATAAATTATTAAACAAAGTCTGCATCCACGTAGCCAGATTTTTTTTTTGACTTTTAATGAAATCGGGATTTTATGTTTCTAAAACTACATACATACCATCTTACACTCTGGAAACTACAAAGAATTATGCACTTCCTGTTAACTTAAAAAGCATAGCAGATTTTCAGTAAAACCAAGTTCTACGCAATACGCAAGTAATAGCCACTTAGACACTTCAACATATAGATATATGAATATTGTTAGTAACCCAAGCATTTTTTGAAGACAGCTGTCCCCAGGATCCAAACAAGGCAAGCTAATGGTTCAACTAAAATCTTACCTTTAATGGAAGACAATCTTTGTGCTCCGAGTTGCATTGAATAAACTGTGAAGTAGTGACATCCCCTTTATCTGAACCCACAGTTGGTGACAAGGCATGAGTTTGAAGATACATTGAATTTCCTGCACTGTGCACACTGCTCGAGATACTTGGTGATTCCAAACTCATGCTTGTCGAGATACTATCAGCAGGTAACATGCCATTGGAATCAGAACAAAAATAGAATGATTTGTGTGCATTTTCTGATCCAGGAAGATCATCAAGTAAGGAACTCCTGCATTAAGGGAAAATCAGATGTTAAAAAACAAGCACAAATCAGATGACATTTTGATTGAATTTAAAGCACATAAAATTTGGGCATATTGGAAACAATGGATACTGAATGACTCTAGTGCATCACCAATAATGAAACTTTATCTTCTAAAATAGTCAAAGAAAAGTAGGATCTTCCAAGAATGGTGTTATAAGTTTGGATTTTATGCTTTTAAATTATTCAGTATCATGCAGCCGATGCCATCTTTCGTACTGGAACCAGCCCCAAGATAAAATAGTGCAGATATGACATGAAAATACAATGGAGCAATTCAATTTCCACTGGATTTCCTATTGATGCCACAATTGATTATGACAAATTAAGGCAGTTAAGAAACTACATCAAGTATCTTAATCCCAGAGGTTACGCTTGTACAAGAAAATGTCATCCATCTGGTCGAGTCCTGCTAGGTCTTCAAGTTGATTACAGGCCCGATTGTATGAAAGACTGGTCTGCTGAAGAGAGGCCTCGGACAATCCTTCACATGCACTTGAACTGCTCGACAGATCTTTTTCATTAACAGAAGTTTCCATCATGGCTTCACCAGACAAACTGTTACCACTGAAGTTGAGCTCTCTATTGAATTGTGGATACATTGAAAAGCATTTATTAGTCGACTGAAAACATTCAGATGGACTTATTCCCCATCTTGACCAACTGTCTGGTGATGGAAGCCTATCCGATTGTCCATCATTTGGAACAACAAAATCATCAACGCCAGTTCCGTAATACAAATCCATGAGACTTAATCCTGAAATGGATAATAGATATGTTATAACAAGCATAAATGAATAATCATCACAACATGTAATTCTATTTTTCAGATTTTGTGAACTTATTTGTGTTAGGACGAGTCAACAAAAAACCAGAAGCAAAATGGGGGGAAGAAATCCTATATCCCCTTCATGTCGGTTCTCCAGTATAATCATACACTTCCAAGTCTTATACAATTAGATAACAAAGCAATAAATCATTTACAAAATTTCATCTATTCTTTAAACCACTATATCCTCAGTGTTCTTGTAATCAAACAGAGATCTAGATGTCTTGTTTGATTACTAGGATTGGATTGGATTAGATCGGACAGGATAATCATAATATTCAAGGTGTGCTTGAAGGTAAGACGAATGATTTTTCATTTTGAAGAGATTATAAGGGATTACACATGAAGGAAGCTTATTCTTTTTAATCCTACCATTTTGTAGGGACTCGAAGTGATAACTTTCATTAATGAGTGATCCATATTATGCCTTCAACTCGGATAAAATCTCTTAATTTCTTCCTTCAACATACCTCGAATATAATGAGTAATCCAATACAATCCAATCCTAGACACCAAACAAGCCCCTAGAGGTAAAGGAAAAGTATTTCAAGAAGCATACTTCAAAAGGTTAGTCAACTAAGCTTCTTCTACATGAAAAGTATGACCAAATTAACAAGAGCTCAAATCTAGTTCCAGATCTGCTTAAAACAATAAAGGTAAACCATTTAACTTCACAATTTCTTTGATTTCCAATACTGACTGCATCCAATATATTATATAATATTCCCTTAAAATTTGAAAATTCATTTCTTTCGTACACTTTCACAGCATCAGAACCATCCAGAACTCATCAAATCAAGTAAAACTCAAAAGTCAAGCCACTGTATCAACCATCATCAGACAATAACATAACAGCAGTGAATAGCAAGATCAATCCAAAACATCCAACAGTAAAATCCCAAAAAAAACCAAGACTTTTCACAACTGATACAAATCAAAGAGCTAAGAAAACATACCTTTGGATTGATTATTTGGGAATTTGAACAGGACCCAGTTTCTAATTCAGAGATTTAAGTCAGCCCAGATGAAGAAATTCGATATATCAGACTGAAAATTGAGATGGGTTTCCGTGGGCTTTGGAGTGTTTGAGTGTTTTCAGCTGGAAAACAAATGAGGCGGCCGTGGTTTTTTGGTGGCCAGGCTTTTTCTGGATTTTAATTTAGACTAAAAATAGACAACTTGGAGGTAGATAACAAGATTACAGATGGAAGAGAGAGAGAGAGAGAGAGGGAAGGAGAGAGGAGAGAGAGAGGAAGGAGAAGAGCTGGTTGCTGCGATTTCTTGTGGCTGAGAATAATAGGGCCGAGATTAGTGGCTGCGAGGGCTCCATCTAAAACTGCATTCTCATTGGCCCACGTGTCCGAATCTGGTCCCCATTGTGAGGAAATCAGATTTATTACTTGGTGTAGGATTGCGCTTGGGATGCCCGAGACGAGAGCTGCATCTGATATTTTATTTCCGGAATTACCCCTGTGGTGTTTAATTACCGACGTCTCGGGGAAGCAAGAGGCAAGCGCGGTACGTGGGCCGAATGGCCATTTCACACGTCGTGAGCTGTGAATGCCTTCACGTTCGATGGTCCCGCATAGATTTCCACGCGCACACGTGGCTTTATATGCTTGGGCTTGAATGACACGTAGTGTCTAGGGGAAATCGAGGGCAGCAAACAAAAAAAATGTTGTGGCTTGGTTTGCTTGTGGGGAAACAGGGATAAGATACAGTCGGATGCAGAGTATCAGAAGATGAGGGCCACACGATTCCTGGTACCCACGATCGCTCTAATAAAATGAAGCAGGTAAAATGTTTCGATAACGCTTGTCACGGTGGGCGAAAAGTTTATGCCAATAATATAAATAATAAACTCTTAGTGGAACAAAAGATCCCAATGAACGTCATGAATGGGAGATTTTCATGTGTAACTGAAATACGGAACAATATAGCACATGTTATCATAAATTTTAAAAGGTGCTTACAAAAAAATCTTTTCTTCAATTGGATAAGAACATGTGCCACTTTATGTTCCGGCATACAGAAAAGATTCTCTATTTTTGATAATTTCGCCATCGATCCAAGGACCAGAAAAATTCATAGAAGCATTTCTCGTTCTTGAGAGTAATTAATGGAATGTTGATGCAGAAACCTGCTAAATAACTTAATAATGTTATCACCAGACAAACTATCACTAATAATGAATTTAAGCGGAAAAGCACTAAAGTGAACCGTTGATATTTTCTAGTTCCAGTTCCGGTTTGAGAGTAGGACCTCACTCTCCAGCATAGGCTCCCAATTCGTAATTACGATAGTTCCGAGAAGCACTTAATGGAAAACGCCATAAACACATACCATGATCCATAGTTGCTGATTCTATAAACTCTTTGGCTTCATCTAACTTGCCGAGCACGGCTCCATACGTCAACCATGCAAGCATAATATTCCACCCTTGGGGCTATGCCAAATTCATTAGACATCATCTTGAAATACATCCACCCTCTCTCGACGGATCCCATATGGCTGGAAGCAGAGAGAAGATTCACGAATGTAACGTAGTCGGGTCTTGCATCCTCCAACCGCATCTCCTCGAAGAGCTGTAGAGCCTCAATGCCCCTCCCATTTTGTGAAAGCCCTGATATCATTGCGTTCCAAGTTATTGCATCCCTCGTTGGCATCCTCCTGAACAGCAGATTGCCGTCTTCCAAATTCCCACATTTTGCATAGAAGGTTGAAAGAGCACTTCCAATTGGTACCTCAAGACCGAACCCATACTTGATGGTACGGGCATGGATTTGCTTTCCTTGTTTAAGAGCACTTTAAGACTCGAACATGCTTTTTGAGGATGTTCATTGGGCATCATTCCCTCCCTCAGCATTCTGCGATACAAACTCAAAGCAGCTTCATTCTCCCCATTTTGCGCATACCCTCCAATCATTGAAGTCCAAAGAACAATATCAGGTTCTTTCAAATAATCAAACCCCTTACGAGCATCCAACGCTACCACATTTGGCATACATGTCAACCAAAGCTGTCATTATATACATTTGGAATTCGAAACCCATATTTAATGAATGGCTATGAACTTGTCTTCCTTCTTCGAAGGACCGGTACTGAGATGGAAGCTGCGAAGTGAGACTCAACAACCGACGACGGCGGCAGAGCAGCGGTTCTGTTTTTACTACAAGTCTTTTCTACAGCCAATTTTTTTCACTTTTCCCTTTTTGTCCCTCAATATCGCGGGAACTATGTTGCCATCAACGAGGGCATTATAGTCTGCAAATTTGCAGTCGGTGTATGAGCGAGCGTTGGGGCTTTTGAGAGGCTCGGAAAGTTCTGCGATTCCCGCCGGTGTTGAACGGAGGACTCTTTCCCGGGTAAGTTACAATTGGGTCCGACTTCAATATTTTTTTTGTTTAATGCTAATCTAATTTAGGATTGCAGATAGCTTCTCGATTTGTCTAATCGTGCTTTAGTTGCGTTTTGAGCAATTTTAGTGCCTAGAACACGCAATAGTCTGTTTTATCATTCAAATTATTTATTGTGCAGCTCACATTATTGGGGTTCCAGTTTTTTTTTTTTTTTTTTTTTAATTTATGAATTAAGATGGTTGCTCTTTTGTTGCAGTTCGACTTAGATCGAAGTAAGAATGTTCAAGAACACGTTTCAATCCAGTTTTCTGTCCATTCTATACAGCCTCGGGTATGCTATCTGTTTCTTTCTCGTATTTGGAGTATTTTCTTATCCTTGCGATTGTAACATGGACGTTAAGCTGTGCATTGTTTTGAATACTCAGGAGCAAGCCTTTGCAGATTTGGGATAAAGAAGGTGAGTGGTTTTGACTCTGGTGGAGAAGTAAAACATGTTGATTGAATTTTGAGGTTCTTGTGAAATTCACCTTTACGAATTATCAATATACAATGATGCATTCAGACTCTTCAGTGTTGTTTACATCTTTCACATTTTTTCTCCTAATTGTGGTCCGTATTGACGAAGTGCCTGTAGCTTCTATAAATCTTGAATGCTTAATCACACTTTCGAATTGGAAGATGAAGGTTCTTAATCATGGTTCAATATTGTCTTCCTCATCGCAATCCATCCCTCTTATCGTCAAAGGAGTTTGTCTTTTCTGTTTGAATGTTTAAGCTGAGACCTTGTTTCGTGATTAAGTTAATATTGTGTTAATCCTGTTAAGTACGGAGATTTTAGTTCTTCATGCTCAGCCTTCTACATCCATGTTAATACACCATGTACTTTTGCGCATTAGCCACAAGAATCGGCAGTCCCCAACAGATGGATCCCTTAATACTTTGTTATACCATTAAATTTTAGAGTTTCCTAAGCGTGTTCCTGACCAAGTAAATAATGAGGCACATGCATGTTGGAATGTCTGTAGATTTAATGTTTGTATTGGACTATGGAGCATTGCTTATGCTAGAGTGAAAACAATCTCTGCTTCAGGCGTTATTGTTAGGCCATGCCTTTGAGGTATCAACATGACGATAGAGTAAATTGTGCCTGGTGATTTGATATTATGTTTTGTTTTGTTGAGCAGTTGTTGACGGGCATATAAAATGACCACAGGATGAAGACATACAATCCAATGTTCTTGAAATAGTTGGGTCGAACATCCAGTCCACATACATTACTTGCCCAGCAGACCCATCAGCTACACTGAGTATAAAACTTTCATTCCTGGTTATGATTATAAAGAATCTGAACAAATATTTCACATTTGAGATTCAAATTCTGGATGACAAGAATGTCAGGCGATGTTTTCGAGCTTCCAACTTTCAAGTGTGTAAGTTTGCCCATGTTTATTGATGTTTATCAACTGCGTTATGGGCTGATCTTAATGTTCTCTGTTTTCTCCTTTTCTTTTCCATTTGGTATTTCAGGGAATATTCTGGTACGCCATAATGCTTCTTATGTTTTTCTCAAAGATATCTATATTTCGCAAACAAGTCTAGGCGTTTATGGTTGTCTTTTAAGATTCATTTGGGATTAACTCATATCGTTGTTTTCTGAACATCTGTCGCTGTTGCAAACAAGTTTAAGCGTTTATGCTTCTTATGTTTTAGTGAACATCTATCTTTGTTCTTTATTATTGAATGGCTATTACTTTGACTGCCGAAGAATTCTGATTTGAATTTATAATGCAGTGACTGAAAATGCTGCACATTGGAGTAGTCGTGCTGCTCTAGAAATGTCAAAGCGATAAAAGATACAAGAGGTTATGCATTTATTTTTGTTTTGTAGGCTGTAACTCGAGTGAAGCCATATATCTGCACCATGCCCTTGAGTATGGATGATGGCTGGAATCAAATCCAGTTTAATCTAGCTGATTTTACAAGGAGAGCCTATGGAACAAACTATGTGGAGACATTGCGAGTTCAGGTTCATGCAAATTGCCGCCTGAGGAGGATATATTTCTCTGACGGCTTGTACTCTGAAGAGGAACTTCCTCCTGAGTTTAAGTTGTACCTCCCAATGCAGGTAATTTGGATCGATCCAGTCTTCTAATGCCTGCAATTATGCTTCTGCACCTTGTCGTTTGATGTCCACTCATTGCTTATAATGTTTGTGCTGCACAGAAAGCATGATATGATTCAACAAAGGAGGGATCAAACGTATTGGAGCTGGATTTTGAGACTTTTTCACCTTCTGCACACTCCCTCTTAAATTTGGGCTTTGAGGCGATTAAGCAAGAACAATATAACAGAAGGGAGAACCATTCAATTTTTCAGAAATAAATAGTGATGATGAAAAGAAAATATGTGAATAACAGTTCATCTGCAATATTCATCTAAAGATGTATTACTACATTACAATTGTCAACTGTTTGTGTTCTTGAGAAGAACAAATGCTTTCATTTTCGGACCATGAAATGGACCATCTACAACAGATATTACAGAATTTTTCTACACATTTGTGTAACAAATGCTTCCTGAGTGTTTGTATTTGATGGGAAAGTAGCACCAGTGCAGGCGTAATGATCCACCAAGCAGATATGCAAGTAGCAGTATTGGGGAAGAAGCTTTGAACAATAACAACAATGTCATCAGATTTGAGAGACGCATCCAAGTTCATATCTTTGCTTCCACCAAGAGACTTCTCCTTCCCTCGTTTTCTTGGTGAACCAACACCACTTTCCTAACAAAACTCGAGGGCATAAACCCGCTTAAACATCACTAAAACCTTGTTTGAAGCCATACATTTTTCCAGTGAACCATATCCTTGCTTTCGACATCCATCTCCCCTTCGTTTCTGCGGCTCATAACATCCCCAGTGATAGAGCATAACGCTGCAATCTCTCAGTTCCTCTGGATCAATTCCAGAGAATAAGATGCTCATAGGCTGTGAAAATAGGCACAATTTCAGATAAAACTAAAAGTGCAGGATCTTTTTCTTTTAGGACAATATGTGAACATTCCAACAAAAATTCATGGAAGGTTTGTTTGTTGACAGTTAATGTAGTGAAAGACGATGGAGCTTTACCTTCAGATCGATACGTCCTCCCACTTTATTTCCACATCAAATCGTGAAAATCTTGTTTCTTCTCATCCGTTTCGAGAAGATGGCAACACAAGTGCTCTCCTTTTTCATACCCCAGCTCAACATATACGAATACTCCTAAATTCAAAAATGGTGAAATTATAACCAATTGATTGATCTTATAAAACAACCATGAGGAAACATCATTCCAGGGGTTACCTATCCAATTGAAGGAGAATCATATTCATGCCGCACTGCAGGAGAACCATTCATGAATAATTTAATTGATGGACATTTAAATCATTGGCCTTAGAAGATCCAATCTTTTCAGTTCCACAGTTTGATGCCTGCATCAGCAAAGCCGACCAACACGGCAGTGACATAACTTTGCCCTGAAAGCATAGTTGAATTTCACCGTTAACATTTAACCAATATATAAGCCTAAATGATCAAGTGATTTCTTCTTCCCTCGTTTTCTTGGTGAACCAACACTGGTTTCCTATTAAAAAAAATGGAGGGCATAAACCCGCTTAAACGTCACTAAAACCTTGTTTGAAGCCATACGTTTTTGTGGCGAACCATCCTTGCTTTCGACATCCATCTCCCTTGTTTCTTCGGCTCATAACATCCCCAATGGCAGAGCAAAATGCTGTAATCTCTCGGTTCCTTTCGATCACTTCCAGAGAATAAGATGCTCATAGGCTGTGACAATAGGCAAAATTTCAGATAAAAATAAAAGTGCGGGTTCTTTTTCTTTAAGGAGAGTTTGTGGACAATTAATGTAGTGAAAGAAGACAGAGCTTTACCTTCAGATCGATGCGTTCTCCCACTTCATTTCCACATTAAGTTGTGAAAATCCTGTTTCTTCTCATATCCGTTTCGATAGGATGCCAACACAAGTGCTTTCCATTTTCATAGCCCACCTCAACATATCTGAATGCTCCTAAATTCAATTATGGTGAAATTATAAACGATTGATTGATCTTTAGTAACCAAGCAAATGGATCTTAAAATGAAACCTAATTCGTTCAGCTTCTTAAATAATTCCAACCAATAAATAGATCGAGTTAGCATCAACATATACGTGGGCTTTTTCTTTATATTAATGAATATAATCAAAGTCTCTCTGACTATCTCCGTCTCTCTTTATCACAATTAGAAAGGGAAAAAAGTATGTTATGAACTTTTCAGAAACAATTCTGAAGAAACAAAAGTGAAATGGATCTCAATGTTATCTGCAATGTTCAACATATGAAATATCGTTCCTGTGAAATGTGTAGTGTAGCAACTACCCACCTGCTCTAGTAACGTAATGTACTGACTTCCAACAAGCGCAAGCATGCAGGCAGTGCTCCAAAGAAATCTGGCCTCCATTTTTGTTTCGTGGTCATCGTCACCCGTTCTCACTGCAACAGCTGTGTACGTACAAAAGAACATATCTGCACCCACTTGAAGATGGCAGCAACATGAAGAGAAGATGAGAAGGCATGCTGGTTGTATTGAAAATAAAGCAGTATATGAGTAAAACAACATTCCAAGGGTTACCTATCCAATTGAAGGAGAATCATATTCATGCCACACTGCAGGAGAACCATTCATGGACGATTAATTGATGGACGTTAAAATCATTGGCCTTAGATAATCCAATCTTTACAATTCCAAGTTTGCTATCTGGATTAGCAAAGCCAACAAACACATTAGTGACATAATTTTGCCTTGAAAGCATAGTTGAATTTCCCTGTTAACATTTGACTAATACATAAGCCTAAATGATTAAAGATAGATTCTACAGATAGATGTAACATATTTACAAAAGCCTTTGGAATAATGCCTTCACATTTTACTTGAGATGAAACTATTATCTGCAGTGGAGTCCGACTCTCAAATTGGGACAGCACTGCCATTATCTGCAGTGGTTCTCTTAGCCATCTCCTCCAGCAACTTTGCTTGGAGATCTCTCACCTGCACATATATGATCGATTTAGTTAAAAACAGAACTCCATGTTGGCTCCGAAAGATGCTTGCCTCAAAGATTTCCTTCTTGTCATATGACCTTATTCTTTAGTAGAGCAAACCTTTTACGTTGGACAACTCTTTTATTTTGCTCCTCAATCCATCCCCTCAGCGTCCTGGACAAGGGACTGAAAAGAACTCATCACTCGTAACGGAGTAAGCGCACAACTACAAAGTTATAATCTGCATACTATGTATCTTCTACTTACTTTGCATTAAGAGCCCCATCACAGAGGAAATTCAAAAGCCTAAGATTTTGGGAGAAGCTTAAGGCATCATATCCATCCCCGCCTTCACTAAAACACTCAGAAGGCAACTCCTTCATAACGGGGTCAACCATAGAGACCCTGGATGCGGAGATCAGGTTCTCCAAATCTTGGAACCATGAGCAGTTGGTGCTTGTTTGCTATAGAGATCTAAGAGAAAATAAAGTTGGCGTAAACCATATGAATTATTTCACCATTACAGCTTACTAAAGTACTTTATGCATAACTATAATACACTAGGCAGAGTTCTTACTCCTGTATGAAGAAGAGCATATAGCTATGAAATCAAACAATGGAGTACTGTCCAGGCCATCCACTTCGTCCACTTCCTCGACGAGATAGTTCTCGAAGAACAGATTCAGCTTGGGACTTTTCAATTTAAAAACACTAGAGTTAAAAGAAACAAGAAAAAAAAAAAAGAGATTTCAAGTGAATTGGAAGTTCAGGAATGCTTTTAGCACAGTAAAGCGGTGCACAAAATCAATTAAAACAAGATTAGAGAAACATTTAATCAAATATATAATAGAACAAAAATAAGAATTAACTTGCTAAATGTTTCACAGAACTTCAAAAACTGTAGAGCATTTTCCATATCCTCAGCAGCTAATGGTGCCCTGAGGTAGGGGAAGCTCAAGATCTATCTCTCTGCTCTCAACGCGGCATTCCTTGACCCTGCAACACCCTCTTGCAGCCTTGCCCTTGCCCTTGGCATCATTCTCATTCACAGCAGCACCACCATCTCTGCTGCATTACAAGTTTCCATCAACTTGTCCTGCTTTGCTACATCCAAGTACTTCACATCTTTGCTACATCCAAGTACTTCACATCTCCTGCAAAAACTCAAGACCATAAGCCCTCTTAAACAGAACTAAAACCAACCAACAACAATATCAATATGAATTCACAAAGAAAAAACTATAATCAACAGCACCACCATCTCTGCTGCCAACCTCTTGAGTCTCAATCCTAGACTTTAAGATGCTTTCTGACTTCCAACAAGCGCAAGCATGAAGGCAGTGCTCCAAAGAAACCTGGCTTTCATTATTGTTTTGTGGTCATTGTCACCCGTTCTCACTGCAACAGCTGTGTATGTACAAAAAGAACATATCTTTACCCACTCGAAGATGGCAGCAACATGAAGAGAAGATGAGAAGGCATATGCTGGTTGTATTGAAAATAAAGCAGTATATGAGTAAAACAACATTCCAAGGGTTACCTATCCAATTGAAGGAGAATCATATTCATGCCACACTGCAGGAGAACCATTCATGGACGATTAATTGATGGACGTTAAAATCATTGGCCTTAGCTAATCCAATCTTTACAATTCCAAGTTTGCTATCTGGGTTAGCAAAAAAGCCGACAAACACGTCAGTGACATAATTCTGCCCTGAAAGCGTAGTTGAATTTCACTGTTAACATTTGACTAATACATAAGCCTAAATGATTAAAGATAGATTCTGCAGATAGATGTAACATATTTACAAAAGCCTTTGGAATAATGCCTTCACATTTTACTTGAGATGAAACTATTACAGAATCTGAATCTTGGCTATGGAATGAAAATGGTGCCATGTACGTACCTCACTTTGACTTGAGATCTCAAATGATGACTTGATCATCCATCTCGATGCAAGGAATGTGAGCTATCTTGCTCCACTCTTGTCCCGTCTTCTTCTGACACCGCTTCTCCAGGGAAGGACAATCCGTGATGCTCAGAAAAGAGAGCGATGCCGGCAAACCATCTTTTGGCAGGAACTTGAGACTAACACAGTGGAAAATTTTGAGCACTTGAAGAGAAGTGAGGTGTTGAAGTCCCTTTCCCTCCAAAGATTTCAGACTTTTCATGTCCCAGATTTCGAGCATGTGAAGAGTGGTAGGGAGCAGCTGTTCCTTGAGCAACGTCTCCAACACATCCTCGCTTCTCCAGATCAAAAATGTTCGAAGGGAGACAATTCGTTGCAAACCCCAGTACTCCACTGAATGCTTCAGTTCCTCACAATCATAGATTTGAAATGATTGTAGGTTGGGAGGCAAACCCCCTTCTGCAAATGACTTAACATTTGGAAGTTCGCCTATCCATAAATCTCGAAGGCCGGTGAGGGTGTGTATTCGGTCGGGCAATAACTTCAAATTCTCATTCCCCGAGACTGATAAAAAAGCCAGCTTGGGAGTGGGCAATCCCCCGTGGGGAAAAGAGACCAGATTTGGACAGGAATAGATAGAGAGATAGTTGAGATGAGTGAGATTTTCGTCTTCAGCCCCTTCTCCAATGGAAAGGGATTCAAGATTTTTACTGCCCCAGATATCAAGAGTTGAAAGTTTGGGGAAAACGCCCAGCGGGAAGGACCTCAGTGAATCACAGCTCTCCCACAATTCCAAATCTCGAAGGGATGCCAATTTGGCCATCATCTCATGAGATAGGAATTCTAATCTCCTGCAATTTTCTATTTTAAGATATGTCAACGAAGTGGGTAGACCATTTCGAGGGAACGATAAGAGTGATGCGCAGTTAACGAGACACAATCTTTGAAGACAATTGTTGAAGTGCGGCCGCAAGCATTCTCTGCGACTAAAAAATTGAATCTCAAGTTTGGAAAGAGAGGAAAACGACTCCGTCTCCAGTAACGACGACAGACCAGGGCATCTAACTATCTGCAGTTCTTCAAGAGACTGTATCAAGGACTCCGTGTTAACAATGGGAGACCACGGTATCCATCTCGTTCTGGTAGCCCTTTCATGTAGAACCTCGCAGTCGGACACGGAAAGTTTTCTCAAGCAAGGAAGATGATCGGGCAAGTTTCCCCTCAGCTTCGGACATTTCTCTAAAGTCAGCTCCTCAAGACGGGGAAAGTCTAGAGATTGACCTCCACCTGGACAAGGTAGCCATTCCTCCCACTCCGGCATCTCTTTGAACTCTAGCTTCTTGAGAGATTGAAATGGCTGAATTAAAGAAGCTCCATTACCCCTGTAGAACTCAACACCAATACTCATGACAGATTTCATTCTTTCTATATAGAACTCTTTGAGAGCGGGTAACCGTCCAACTGGTGGCAACCACAAACAAGTACTACAATCAGAGAGACGCATGACTTGTATGTTGGAGAAGGAAAAGTCTCCCAACCAATCTGGAAAGCTAGTTCCACCATAAAATCTGATTGTCAGCTTCACCAGGTTCACGGAAGGTTGTAGGCTTTCAAGTACATGTCTCTCTGTTATGGAATCATTTGCATCCTCACGACCCCATGCCAACTCTACTTCGTTCAGATCTTTCTTATCCTTCAAATTGGCCCCCAAGGCATCTATAGGATTGACAACATTTTGCAGATTCAAGATAGAGAATTTTCCTCGAAGGTGCGACAATTGCCCCAGTTCTCCAATGCCACCTGACCCACTAGATTTCCCCAACACAAAAGCAGTCAATGTTCTCAAACTTTTTAGTCTACCCATTTGCACCGGCATCTCTTTTACACAAGTTCCACCAATATCAAGATGACGCAAATTTATCAATTTTCTCATGTCTGCAGGTAATTCAACAAGTGAGGAACAACCGAACAACAATAGAGTTTGCAAATTGTATAGAGTACACACCGTATCTGGTAACCTTATAATTGCAGTGTAAGACAGATCAATGTAGCGTATGTGCAAGTGTTTACCAATGGTATCAGGTATTTGAGTGATATTTTTATATCTTGACAGTGACAACACCCTTAAACATTTTAGTGCTGGTAACAAGTCCTTTAGAACCTTTATGCTTACATAGGTCACATTCCACTCCTCGTATGGTCCTAAAGACATGGGAAATAGGGTGCGCAAACACTTAATTTCCTCCAATGGCTTAAACTTTGCAGCAGTATCAAATCCTCCTCTCATATATGACAAATGTCGAACTCGCTTAGGAACTTCATGTGGCTTTCCCTCATCCAACCTAAAACAAAATTCTCCAGACACAGACACAGCCAAGTCGTTAATGAGATCATGCATTGTGAAACTTGATTTCCCAATTAATGATCTTTGAAGTAGAGATCGTGACAATAGTTCATCAAAGTATCTCTCGCCAACCTCTTCCAATCCTTTACCACTCTCAGCTTGTAGAATTAAACCCAGTGCCATCCAAAGTTGAATTATATTTTCCTTTTCAAATTCATAATCCTTTGGGAAAATTGAGAAATAAGCAAAGCATTGTTTCAAATAAATAGGGAGATAATGGTAACTCAATCTTAATGATGGAAGAACACCTTTATCATGCAATATCTCCCAAAGATTGTTGTTCAATATGTGACTCCATTCCTTGTAATCCACATTACAACCTAAGAGACCACCAAGTGCTTTTGCAGCTAAGGGAAGACCATTACACTTGCGTGCAATTTCCTTACCAATATCTTCCAAGTCTGGATGCTCACTAGGATTTTCATTTCTAAATGTATGTTTTGCGAGTAACAACCAACAATCTTCATCCGACAAATGTTTCAAGTAGTGAATAGGCACGGTGTGCACTAAGGATGCAACACTTTTGTTCCTCGTTGTTACAATGACCTTACTTCCCCTCGCCCCATAAGTAAAAGGAGCCCGTACAAGATCCCAATCAGTATAGTTGTCATTCCAAAGGTCGTCCAACACAAATAGGAACTTTTTCCCCATCACTTGTTCCCTTAGTTCAACTTGAAGCAAGCTATCTTGAAGACTGCAAGGTTTTGAGCTAATTGATTCAATAAGGGTTTTAGTTACCCTCGTAGCATCAAAATCTTCAGAAACACATGCCCAAGCAGTAACATCAAAATGTTGTTTTATTTTTTCATCATTGTAAAGGAGCTGAGCAAGGGTTGTCTTACCAACCCCGCCCATTCCCACTATGGGGATTACTGATACGTGGTTGCTACTCTCATAATCAGATAGCAACGTTGTTTTCAACTTGTCTTTATCTCCATCCCTACCATAAAGACAAAATTCATGCTCAACCAAGAATGTTGTAGGAGTTCTTTGAGAAATTTTCCCCTTAACACCTCCTATAAGACCAAGGAGATTAATTTGTTTTGCTAGGTGTCTAACCTTTGGAATAACTCTTGTATCCTACCATTCATGCCTTGATAAAAAGGATTAAGAGAGGTAGATAAGAAGTTCCACACCTGGGTTTTCTTAGTTTGATATTCAGCTTCCACCTTGGAGCTCAAAGCTTCAGCATCAATCTCATTGAGTAGATCTTCCGCATCAAAGACAGCATGTTTGAGCTCATTGAGCCAGCTTCCCACAACAGGGTTGACAATCTGCTTCTCCTCTGCATCATTGAGCACTGCATGAAGGGTTAACTGACACGCCCCGTTCCCGATATTTCCCCGAATACCAGGATAGGCACGTGCTGGCCGACACCAGAGGGTGACGAAAGCCATTTATTGAGTGCAAATGCCGAAAACAATGAATAATGAATATGCATTTAAGGAACGTGTTCAGAGCACACATCTAATCTAGAACATAAAAGAATTAATGTAAAAATTTAATGAACACAGAAGTGGGTCCTACACCGAGAGGACTCGAAGATACCGATGCGGAAGTGCCTGGATGCCGGGATTGTACGCCTCGATTCTAAGTCCTGAAGGGGGCGCAAAACAAACATGAGTGGACCAATTTGATATAAATATAATAAAACAGTTATCAACGTACTAACCCCCAGGTTTATGAAAACATATATATAATGATAAACATAGGTTTTCCGAATTCTAGCATGATGCAGTATCTCAAATCATAACTCATATATATAATAATCACTAGTGAATTGTCCGATAACCTGCAGGCCCCATGCCGGCTCCCCGTCTTTGAGCAGACAGTCAGAGGAAAATACACTTCAGGCCCCATGCCGGCTCCCCGTCCCTGTGCTAAATAGCCAGAGGGAAACAACTCCAGGCCCTATGCCAACACCAAACCGTCGCCCGGGACGGACCGGAATCTATCCCCGAACCCTATCCCGTAGCGAAAGGACCACTAGGTAAATACAGTACAAAACCATTGAAAAACATACATATATGAAAAAAACTTCATAGTATAAAGTCATCCATCATCTATACTATAAAGAGGTGTTCGAAACATGTTCTAAATATCATATCGTCATCCATCAGATATTCTATAAGAACACGGGGGTTATAGGAAAAAATAGTAAATAATAATAATTCAAGGTAGTAGCCTCAGTAAGCATGTTATCTCACAAAACGTTTCATAAAACGTAAATAATCATTAAATCATGCATTTCATGTATGCATTTCTACTATTATTAAACATGCTTTTGAAGGGGTCCACTCACAGTACTTAGCCGCCGAAGAGCCACGCAAACTAACGTCACCAATATTGCCCCTAAGCACATAAAGGGTCCAATTAATAAAACTATATAATAGCAATTGGATTTGGGAAAACGGACGTTGGAAACGGATTCAGAACGTCGAATTACCCTAAGAAGGGTCCCGGACGAAAACCCGAAAAGTCAACTCTAAAGTCAATGTTGACCGGAGGTCAACGGTCAAATTAGGTCTAACAGGTTTTAGGCTTGAAATCCGGATTAGGGTTTAGGTTAAATAGGATTAGGATTTATTGGGTTTTGGTTTTAGGGTTCTAAGATTAAAAGGGTTTGGGTTATAAAGGGTTTAGGGTGAAAATGGGTAGTTTGGGCTTAAACCCCAAACACACACACACACCACAAACAAACACACACACACACACGGGCTGCACACACACAGCCCATACACACACGGCCCAAAGGCCTAATAACCAAAAGGGTTGGGTTTTGGGTTCTAAAGGGAATGGGTTTTTAAAAGAAAAAGGGCTTAGGGCCCTGACTTGGAAAGCCCAAGGGCTTAAAAGCCTAGGGTTTTCTGGGTTGCTGCTCACGGGCCGAAGGCCCTGTTCCAAATTGGCCCAAGGGGGAAAGGAAAGGCCGGATGGCCTGGGTTTGTTGAAAGAGAAGGCCGGAAATTCGGCCGGAAAACCACCTAACTTTAAACGGCCATAACTTTGTCAATACTCAACGAAATCAAGCAAGACAAAAATGAAAGTTGTAGCCCTTGAAGAGACGAAGAGAATGGTACCTCACACGACGTCTAACTCGCCGTGGTTTGGCCGGAAAACGCCTCGAAATCCGTCGGACTCGCCGGAAACTGGGTAAGATTCAAATGAGTATAACTTCTTCAATACTCAACGAAATTAAGTGAAACAAAAAGGAAAGTTATACTACTCGACGAGACGAAGAGATTGATACCTTGCACGCCGGCCAACTCGTCGTGGTTTGGCCGGAAATGGCCTCGAAAGGGGGCGGTGCCTCGCCGGAGCTTACTCCGTGCCGTCGAACTCGCAGGGCAGGGTCCGGGGTTCGTTGCGAGCCTCTCTTCGATGGTGACTCGGTCCTAGTGAGTCCAGGGGAAGAGAGAGATGCGAGAGGTTGAGGGAGAGAGAGACAGGAGAGCTGAGAAGGAGAGAGCTACGGGAGGGAGAAACGAAGAAGAAGAAGAGAGAGATCAGAACACATAAAAAAAATAAACAAGGTGGGCCCCACGGGCTCACCAATTAAGGCTTTAAAACAATTTTAAAATATAAAGGAGGGTTGGGGTGTTTCAATCTACCACCCTTATAAAAAAATTTCGTCCTCGAAATTTAAAACAACTTACTACACCGAAAATACTTGAAAATAGGAAGAAGAATAATATATATATATATGTAACGAAGAGATCAGGTAAGAGCGGTTTCACAAAAGAGAAAATGCCACGCCGTCGCGATCGGCTGCAATGATTCCATCTTTCGTGCCTCCAGGCTCAAACTTTTTTTTTTTTCCATCAGTGTAAAAATAGAACACATACTTTAATAAAATATAAAGTTGAAAACACAAAATAGCTTAAGGCCAGATAACGTCAAAATAGATATGTACTAACATATAGTTCACAAACTCGAATCAACTTAAAAATAAAAACAGAAATACTTTTCCAAAAACATTTGTAACGTCAAAACAATTAACTAGAGTAAATGAAGTTAAAATACTTATACTGAAAACCAAAACTGAAAAATGAGAGTGGGTCTCGCCCAAGAATTCGAAATGTCATATATTCTGAGAATAGATGTGCCTTTAGGTCGAGTCCCAAGAAATAAAAATTCTGAATCTGCATCAGCTGCTGTAGACGAATCTTCTTGCCCACTTGCTTAACGAACCCACCAAATAAGCTATCGATATCACAGTCTGCAGCCCGCAATATCGACCTCACATTTGTTGTCTCGATAGGCAAGTAGTAATTTCTCAAATGGTGTACAATTTCACATATCGTAGGATCGATCCTCCAAATACAAGTTCGCAAGACTTTTCAGTCAACCAGTGTTTTCCATGAAAAACTATCGTACCAGGTCGTAAAAAGTACCATACACCAAACCGAACAAAACAGAAACTGTCGTCATAAAACTCTATCCAGCACCAAGCATCATATCCTTCTCAGTTCTTCCAAATGTGACCAACTACTTCAGAATTTCACCAGTAAAGAACCCATTTGAAAATTGTACCTTGGGATTCAAGAGAAGTGGCTACCATGTTAGTAGTAGACCCAAAAGCTCAAATCAAGCAAGCAGAAAACGAGAAGTCATCTTCCTCAACACGCAGTATCTCTTACGAACTGTTGTAGTGCTCAATCCACCTCTCCATTTTTGCTTAGTTGCAGATTTCAAGTCAAACAAGATCAAAATTGGTGGAAAGAAGAACGACTCGCAAATGGTCATCCTAACAACCAAAGACCACACGCACATTTCGAGAGAAGTGTAAAGATTATCCAATTCTCGCTTCGACCGTCCTGTAGTGCCATCTCAGAATGCACCAAACAGATCTGCTAGAAATGTTTTAACAACCACGTACTCACAATAATAAGGTTCAGAAGTGGAGCAATGGAAATGTGCGTTGAGGCGAACACATATAGTTGGAAAATAACCGATGTGATGCCTATGAATTCTAGTAAGATGGTGATACAATATGCTGACCTTCTGCACCAAAATCTTCACCAGTCTCTTACCAAAATACAGCTTAAACCTCATACCCACATGGAATTCTTTATGGTAAGTCTGGTAAGCTTGTGAAAAGATTATGCTCCCAACATTCATGTCCGAATCAACACGAACTGGGTGCCCACTTTCACCGAAACGATCGATTGTGAATTTCTCACTGGTTAGGCGAGAAACCATGTCGAGAAGGCTAAAATAATACTCAAGAATTTGAGGATCAAAACAAGTCCATAAAAAGATAGATTACAAGAAATCAGGATTTGAACTAGAAACCACGCCAAGAACAAGCTCATATTGTTCTGGCATGATTCAATTTTATATTGAGAAACCAACAAGCGAAGGAAGATAAAGATGCAGAAATAGAGTCATTGTTTCTGATTATTTTGCAAATCATCACAGTATGGTCAACTGGTTCTTAGCCAAAAGGAAATAGGTCTAAGCTCAAGGATAGTTAATAACTGATAATAAGATTTAACGAGGTCAAAACATTACGAGATTCACAATACTTTGTGAGAGTTGTTTCAAAGTTCAGAAATTAAACATAGAATCTCTGAATCAGCAGAATGACGAAGAAGAAAGATACAAAGCAACCTGCGTATGCATGCAGTGACACGATTGGCTACCTTAAAGTGATGCTCTTGAGCAAACCAAAGCTCAATGAGTCCAGAGAAGTTTAGAGTAAAGTTCGATCTTCGTACAATGATAAACATGGTAGAGTCTCAAGCCATTACAATGAAAATTACAAGACTGAACATTTAGGCTGCAAGCAATAGACTAAGTTCACCTTCGCCAAAAAGTACGCAGACGAGGAAATAGGGTTTGCCACCAGGTACCCAACCCAGGTGAAATTCAAGGAATCTGTTTATCCAAACAAAACTGGATATTCATCATCCAAATCCAACTACAACAACAACAAGAATTGCAACTCAATTTGAAAATTAATGAGAATAACGTCTGCTACTGAGGAGTTTCTCAAGATTTCAATGTAGAGCCGACTCCGCCCGCAATTCCTAGGGAACGCATGTTGCAGAGTGGCATCGCCATTTCAAATCTACAGCTGGTTTTAACCAGAATTCCTCAAATTGAGATTTCTAAAACACGTCGCTGAGTATCGATCCGATGCTGAAAGTCGTCCAACGATTCAAACACGTCACCGATGAGGCACAATCCCGACACGAATTCTTGAATTTCAACAAGAAGGTGACAATTCAATCAGAGAGAGATTCACACAACTGCACCGACTGGCACAAAATCCGGAAGTCGTGACATCCAAATGATGTCAAAACCAACACTTTAAGAGAATAGAAAAGAACCCTAAGTATGCTCTGAACAAACCACGCTCTGAAACCAATCTGACACGCCCCGATCCCGATATTTCCCCGAATACCAGGATAGGCACGTGCTGGCCGACACCAGAGGGTGACGAAAGCCATTTATTGAGTGCAAATGCCGAACAATGAATAATGAATATGCATTTAAGGAACGTGTTCAGAGCACACATCTAATCTAGAACATTAAAAGAATTAATGTAAAAATTTAATGAACACAGAAGTGGGTCCTACACCGAGAGGACTCGAAGATACCGATGCGGAAGTGCCTGGATGCCGGGATTGTACGCCTCGATTCTAAGTCCTGAAGGGGGCGCAAAACAAACATGAGTGGACCAATTTGATATAAATATAATAAAACAGTTATCAACGTACTAACCCCCAGGTTTATGAAACATATATATAATGATAAACATAGGTTTTCCGAATTCTAGCATGATGTGCAGTATCTCAAATCATAACTCATATATAATAATCACTAGTGAATTGTCCGATAACCTGCAGGCCCCATGCCGGCTCCCCGTCTTTGAGCAGACAGTCAGAGGAAAATACACTTCAGGCCCCATGCCGGCTCCCCGTCCCTGTGCTAAATAGCCAGAGGAAACACACTCCAGGCCCTATGCCAACACCAAACCGTCGCCCGGGACGGACCGGAATCTATCCCTACGTCCCGTAGCGGAAAGGACCACTAGGTAAGTACAAAACCATTGAACATACATATATTGAAAAACAACTTCATAGTATAAAGTCATCCATCATCTATACTATAAAGAGGTGTTCGAAACATGTTCTAAATATCATATCGTCATCCATCAGATATTCTATAAGAACACGGGTTATAGGAAAAATAGTAATAATTCAAGGTAGCCTCAGTAAGCATGTTATCTCACAAAACGTTTCATAAAACGTAATCATTAAATCATGCATTTCATGTATGCATTTCTACTATTAAAACATGCTTTTGAAGGGGTCCACTCACAGTACTTAGCCGCCGAAGAGCCACGCAAACTAACGTCACCAATATTGCCCCTAAGCACATAAAGGGTCCAATTAATAAAACTATATAATAGCAATTGGATTTGGGGAAAACGGACGTTGGAAACGGATTCAGAACGTTGAATTACCCTAAGAAGGGTCCCGGACGAAAACCCGAAAAGTCAACTCTAAAGTCAATGTTGACCGGAGGTCAACGGTCAAATTAGGTCTAACGGGTTTTAGGCTTGAAATCCGGATTAGGGTTTAGGTTAAATAGGATTAGGATTTATTGGGTTTTGGTTTTAGGGTTCTAAGATTAAAAGGGTTTGGGTTATAAAGGGTTTAGGGTGAAAATGGGTAGTTTGGGCTTAAACCCCAAACACACACACACACCACAAACAAACACACACACACACCGGGCTGCACACACACAGCCCATACACACACGGCCCAAAGGCCTAATAACCAAAAGGGTTGGGTTTTGGGTTCTAAAGGGAATGGGTTTTTAAAAGAAAAAGGGCTTAGGGCCCTGACTTGGAAAGCCCAAGGGCTTAAAAGCCTAGGGTTTTCTGGGTTGCTGCTCACGGGCCGAATGCCCTGTTCCAAATTGGCCCAAGGGGGAAGGGAAAGGCCGGATGGCCTGGGTTTGTTGAAAGAGAAGGCCGGAAATTCGGCCGGAAAACCACCTAACTTTAAACGGCCATAACTTTGTCAATACTCAACGAAATCAAGCAAGACAAAAATGAAAGTTGTAGCCCTTGAAGAGACGAAGAGAATGGTACCTCACACGACGTCTAACTCGCCGTGGTTGGGTCGGAAAACGCCTCGAAATCCGTCGGACTCGCCGGAAACTGGGTAAGATTCAAATGAGTATAACTTCTTCAATACTCAACGAAATTAAGTGAAACAAAAAGGAAAGTTATACTACTCGACGAGACGAAGAGATTGATACCTTGCACGCCGGCCAACTCGTCGTGGTTTGGCCGGAAATGGCCTCGAAAGGGGCGGTGCTCGCCGGAGCTTACTCCGTGCCGTCGAACTCGCAGGGCAGGGTCCGGGGTTCGTTGCGAGCCTCTCTTCGATGGTGACTCGGTCCTAGTGAGTCCAGGGGAAGAGAGAGATGCGAGAGGTTGAGGGAGAGAGAGACAGGAGAGCTGAGAAGGAGAGAGCTACGGGAGGGAGAAACGAAGAAGAAGAAGAGAGAGATCAGAACACATAAAAAAAATAAACAAGGTGGGCCCCACGGGCTCACCAATTAAGGCTTTAAAACAATTTTAAAATATAAAAGAGGGTTGGGGTGTTTCATTAACAACGTCAGCTTCAACTTCTCCATGAGCGAACAATCAAGCTTTTTCCCCCGAAACAGATCCAAGAACTCGCCGGAACCAATCTTATCGCACATCACGTGGATGGAAGCAGAGAGAAAAGCCTCTCCAATCAAAGCTCCTGCCATTTCACCTCTCTATCTCTGTTTTTCTTTTTTCTTCGAAAAATTGTTAGAGGTGAGGAAGAATAAGAGACTTATAGGATTTATTGTTTTGGAAAGAGACGACTTGATAAATAAATGGCATTATCACAACTTAGGGGTGGTGAGCAATCCCGTTAAAATAGAACTTAATATATACATATTAAAAACAAAAACAAATTGATGCAAAATCTCCCAACGACTAATACTATTTCAATTCATGCATGAAACAGACACATTTGTCCTTTCATGCTACTTGGTTATAAGCAAACATCATGCATTTATTAATACTATTCCAAGTCATGCATGAAACCTACACATTTGTCCGTTCATGCCACTTGGTTATAAGCAAACATCATGCACAAGTTGTTTACTAATTAGCATTACTACTATTAGCATGTATCATGACCGTTTTCTTTCTGTTATTCATAAGCCCAAGACATTGTAAGAAATAATGTTGATTATTCAAAACGAATCAACAACTAGTTGCAGTGATACTTCCAACTTGATAAAGAAAGGGAAAAAAAGGAAGTCGACTTCCAAACTAAAATAAAATGTATATAAATATAGAAAATTGTTATTAGCTGAAACACCCCAACCCCTTTTATATTTTAAAAAATTGTTTTAAAGCCTTAATTGGTGAGCCCGTGGGGCCCACCTTATGATTTTTTTTGGTTTTTCCCCGGTCTCTCTCCTCTTTCAGCTCTCTTTTCTACCTCACTCTCCCGTTTCTCTCTCTCGGACCTCATCTCTCTCCCTCGCTGCAACTCTTTTCCCCGATCAACACTCAGCCACGCCATCTGCTGAGAACTCACCATCTAAACCTCGTCCCTTTCCTCTTCCTCTTGCATCTGCGCAACTTGGCGAAACCAAGAAAATAACCTCCGGCGAGTCTGACGGCTTTCGAGGCCATTTCCGGCCAAACCACGGCGAGTCGGCCGGCGTGCAAGGTATCAATCTCTTCGTCTTGTCGAGTACTATAATTTTCCTTTTCGTTTCACTCAATTTCATTGCGTATTGAAGAAGTTATACTCATTTGGATCTTACCCAGTTTCCGGAGACCTCCGAGGCTTTCGAGGCAATTTCCGGCCAAACCACGGCGAGTTAGACGTCGTGTGAGGTATCATTCTCTTCGTCTCTTCTAGGGCTATAACTTTCGTTTTTGTCTCGCTTGATTTCGTTGAGTAGTGACAACGTTATGGCCGTTTAAAGTGGGGTGGTTTTCCGGCCGAATTTCCGGCCTTCTTCTTCGGCAAACTAGGCCCTTCAGGCCGTTTCTCAACCCACGGGCCTTAAGCCCGTATTGCATAAGCCCAAAGCCCTAGCCCAATCCTTTTAATTGTTTTTATTTATTTGTTATTGGTTTAGGACCCAAAAGGCCTTCGGGCCATTAGATTTAGGGCCCGCAGCCCATTAGTCCAACCCAAAAACCTTTTGAGGTTTTTATTTATTTCCTGTTTTAGAATTAAGGCCTTGGGCCAATTTGAATGGGCTTTCAGCCCTTTCCCAAACCCTTTTAACTTAAGGGCCTTAAGCACTAAACCCTTTAACCTTAGGACCCTAAACCCAAAAATCCTAGGTTCCTAAAATCCTTTAAAACCCTAAACCCATCCAATCCCAAATCCCCTATTTTTATTTAAACTCTAAACCCTAATCCGGGTTCAAGCCTAAAACCCGTTTGACCTAGTTTGACCGTTGACCCCCGGTCAACGTTGACTTTAGGGTTGACTTTTCGGGTTTTCGTCCGGGACCCTTCTTAGGGTAATTCGACGTTCTGGATCCCTTTCCTGTCCGTTTTCCCAAATTCAATTGCTATTATATAGTTTTATTTATTGGACTCTTTATGTGCTTAGGGGGCAATTATTGTGACGTTTCCGTCTTCGCTAGTGGCGCAGCTTTTGGCAACTAAGTACTGTGAGTGGACCCCTTCTAAAATTACATGATTTGATAATTTAATTGCATAAATGATTAGCATGCCTACGGATTTATGATTTGATTTATGTGAAGCCTGATGATTTAAATATATTGATTATCGTCTCGTGTTTTGGTGAGGAATTAATTGTTAGCCTATACTGAGCTATATTTCAATATATCGTATTTTCTATAAAAACCATGAACTGGTAGACTATCTGACAGATGACGATAGGATGCTAGAACATGTTTTTGAACCCCTCTTTATAGCGTAGACGATATTCGGTAACCTATGCTATGAAGTGGTTATTTAAGAGAGACGTAACTATTTGTGCGTACCTAGTGGACACTATGCCGCCTGGGGCGAGGATCTGGTGTTGGCATGTAGGCCGGGAGAAATAATCCCTAGCGAAAGGCTGAGGGACACGGAGACAGGCATTGGGCCGGGAGGGAGTTATCTCTGGCTACGGGCACAGAGACTGAGGTGCAGGCATTGGGCCGGGAGTTATATTTATTCAGTGATTTTTCTAGCAGCACACCGCGCTTACGAGACGATTTACGAGACGTTTACTGTTTTGTTTTTCCGCAATGTTATTCCGCGATATGGCTTTTTGAGATACTTTGGCATGCTAGGATTTTATTAAATCCATCACTTATTATGCTAGTAGTTTTCATTTATATAAACTTTGGGGGTTAGTATCTTGATAACTGTTTTATTATTATTGTATATATAAACTTGGTCCACTCACCTTTGTTTTGCGCCCCCATTCAGGACTTAGAATCAAGGCACCTAATCCCGGCGTCAAGACACTTCTGCAGCAGCATATTCGGATCCTCTCGAATGTAGGACTCACTCCTTTATTCATTAAATTTTATCCTAATTCTTCGTAGTGATTAGGTTTAGTTGTATGCTCTGAGCACGTTCCTAAACTGTTAATTCATTGTATTTCAAATTTCTAACCTTTATTTATTTCTTATTCTTAGCTTTTGTATCAATTAATGGCTTTCGTCACCTCCGGGTGTCGGCCAGCACGTGTCGGTCTTGGTATTCGGGGAATATCAGGGTCGGGACGTGTCATTAGCACTCCAAAAATCTCATTTGGCACTCCAAACTTTCTATAATTAGAAAGAAAATTACACTTGTGCGAATGTAGAATAAGATTTTTGGAGCGCTAATAACAGTTCCCTAAATATGTCTTAACAAATATTGTACATGGCATTGACTTAGACTTTCGCAAATAGACTTATAATTTTTGGTATCTAATAAATATCTAGATTGAAAATAGATATTTATGAATTTAATCATTAAAATGCATAAGCTCAATTATACATTCAAGTTAGATCAATTCCTGAAGTTTTGGTCAACAATAAAACTGTTTACCTATGAGTTCACTTATAAAACGTGCAAAGACGATATACTTTTTAACCACAGTTCTATGTATTGTGAATATTTGTCCGCAACTTTTGTGGCATATAGAGGCTAAAAGATACTACGATATTAAATCCATATATGGTCGAAATATTTATCAGTTTAATCATTAAAATGCATAAACTCAATTACACATCCAGGTTAGATCAATTCCCGAAGTTTTGCTCCACAATAAAAACTGCTTAGCTATGAGTTCGCCTATAAAACATACAAAGGCAATATACTTTTTAGCCACAGTTCAATGTAATGTGAATTGTTGTTTGCAAATTTTGTATCTAATAAATATCCACGGTTAAAAATATTCATTGATCTACCAAAAGTTATCATGGACGTACCTATTTTTCTACCACATATAGGAATATAGAGGCTAGAAGATTCTCATTTAATTGAAACATACCAAACTCATTAAACGCTCTAACCAGAAGCTCATACCGATTATTAAGCTAATTAGTGCTCTAGAAATTTAGAGATGTCAAATGATGAAGAAAAGGAAAAGGAAGAGGTTTGGATGACTACGAATGAGTAGATGGGGGTGCAAAATGACAATCATGGGAGATGGAAGGATTTTTTAAAGAGAGAGAGAAGGGGATTTGCTCCATGGAGATGATGGACTGGTTAGCATTTTATTTTTTATTTTTAAGTAGATTGAGTTAGGTGTAAAAAGAAGTTTGATTGAGTTGAGTTTTGATAAGTAAGGGCGGTTTCAAAAATAATGTTGGGTGTAAATAGATAATGATAGATAAATCAAATACAATGTGGATACAAAAAGTAAGATGTGTGTTGAGATACAAAATATGGGTTCAAATAAAATTTCCCAAACTCTCTCACGGTCAAGTTAGTGAATGATTTTGGACTTAAGCAGTGGACAAGAGAATTCAAGTGTTTAGATTGTGTTATCGGAGATGAACCCTATATGGGTGTATTTATATAGAGAGACATTTTTAGGATTGAAAATATCTAGGAATAGATCTTGCATTGTGATTACTTGCCGCACTCGCTAGTCCCTAGATTGTTGGAAATTCAAGACTTAAAGATCTAATGGTGTCCATATCTGGATCAAAGCATGGTTATCTAGCGGAGTCGTAAAGACTCCGATTGGTGCCCTGGAATCGGATAATGGTGGCATCACTATCCATCTGATACAACTCCGTCCGCAACTGATGAATCCATAACCGGACTTCTGAAGTAACTGTATTCAGATCAGCTTCATTCTAAAAAATCATCGTCCACAATTATCTCTAACCATTCATTTGAAAGGCAATCTGATGCCCTTGATGATGGATTGTTATCCAAAGGCCATTTGTTTTGCTCGACTGCGTTCACATCATTTGTTAGGCTGTCAGCCATTAAAGCTTCTGACCCAATGTAGCTTTTCGACAAAGACCCAAAATTTCCAAATGAGCTCTGAATATTTCAATTCTGGAGCTTTAGTGTTCTGGGCTTCTTCTGCAACGGGGTCTTGCAAAGAAACATGGTGTATTTGCATAGAGGTTCGTGACTGAAATTGCAGTGAAGGAAAACTGAGTCTGTGGGTGTTAATTGCAGAGCTTTTAAGTTGGAAATTAGTCGGGGAAAAAGAAGGGGAGAGCGGGAGGGAGTTTGGGGGTTGTGGAAGAGAGAAGATGGTGGAGCACATGTGGTAAGCCATTTCCCTCTCTGAAATTGGGTTGACTCACTTTTGCCTTTATATTCATAATGTATAGATCGGAGTGTTCGTCAACTCGGGCCACAACCAACTAGATGACCAACTGGACCGGAGTTGCTTGCAGCAGA